TCTCAGATAAGATCAGAGTGAAAATGGGCGAGTGTACTTAAATACTTTCAGCTCACTGTAACCTCAGATAAGATCAGAGAGATTAAGTCCTATTGTGTCACAATAGAGTAGTTAAATGTCAGTGTGTTGTATTTAGTCCAGAGTTAGTTCATTTACACATCCCCTTCAAACAAAACAAATTATAAGTTAGAAACAGATTCAGACAATAAGAAATGAACCAATAACATCAGCAGAATCACTCTAGACAGAATAAAAACAATCGTGCAGTCACAGAGTGTTTGTGCGGAGTTAAAAGCAGAAGTGAAACGATGAGTCTTAAGGAGGATTTAAAAATATCAACCAGAGGGGAAGAGCTGACAGTGTCACCAACTGTTCCTCAGTCAACAAAAGAAAACAGATTTGTGTTTGGAGATTGGAACAGACAGGAGGGCCTGAGCAGAAGATCCACATTTGAGGTGGTGACGTGACTGAAGAGGGCCGGAAGTCAGTTATATATTGGACACAGAAAGTGAAGTGAAAAGTACAGTATTACTCTCTGGGGAAGAAATATCAAGTTTAAGTGTGTCAAAATTGTCCCCAAAGTACAGTACTTGAATAAATGTATGTGATTCTACATATGATACAACGCTTTGTATGATATATGAATTAGCTCCTCCAGCACTTAATGTAAAGTTATGGGAATCAGGTTTAGGGAGATGCAGTGACTGTGGTTAGGTTTAGGAAGAGTAACGTGACGAGGTACCTTAAAATGACCCAGAGTTCACTCTGGTTCCAAACGCTGGTCCCCTGAAGAAAAGTCCTGTGTTTTGTGTCCCATACCCACCTCCTTCATTCTCTGCTCCTGTCAGCACATTGGTCACAGCAGTCTTCCAGATTACACTGGTTATACACGAATTACTGGCTCATCATTACGTTGGATATGTACCTATTTTGGTGCATTACTTGTCGTAGAAAAATGTGCATGAGAACAAGCCTGTGCAGCTACATAGCATGACTGGTCCAGTCACTGTGGTGACGTCCACCAGATCCTTGAACAGAGCGTCAAATTCAGTGTCAAATAAAAGTATTAGTAAAGTGAAGAATTGACTTTACCCTCCTGCGACCCTGCGTCCTCATGTGAGGACATCACATTTTGGGTTTGCTGCACCTTATTCTTCATTCTGCTTATCTTTGACTTGCTGTCCTTGTTTCTGGACAGCTTTTTGTGCCATCTAGTGGCAGGAAAAGCACAATACACTAACTTGTGTAAAAACAAGATGGCAGCCATCTGTCAAATCTGTCTGGAGCCAATCCCAACACAAAAGTGGACAAGGTCCAAAACCTGATCAGATCTTATGGTTGAAACTTATCATCTCTTTGGCACTTCATTATCGTCTCTTTGAGGTCACTGGGACTTTACTATTGTATTACTGCAGCATTTCACACAGGCCAATCAGGTGTGACAGGTGGGACCAAAAGGAGATTCCTTAATTAGAGTATGGAGCAGGCAAAAATTCATAGTTATTACATGAACAAATCACAGGGTTTTAGATATGTTGCATTATCTGCAATTTAGTTTTTGCACATTAACATTCAGGCATTTAAAACAAACAGTTTTATACTTTATTACACACGACAATTAAAATGAACCCATTGTAACAGCTGATTAAGAAAGCAAACTCCATCTTGTCCGACTGCTCTCATCCACTACACCAACAGTTTCAGTTTTTACCATCAGGTTCACTGCTCAGAATCTCACTTGCTAAAACAAACAGATACAAGCACTCCTTTGTTCCTTCTGCTGTCTCTCTTCTAAACGCCAGGAGGAAAAGGTAGCTTATTCATTAGTGCGGAACATTTTAATTCTTTTTGTTTTTAACATGAGTATGAGTAAGTATTTATTAGGCTTGTCCACAATGTGTTTATTATGCTGTGTGTATTTGTGTATTTTTGTACTTTGTGTTGCTCCCACTGCTGCGAAACTAACTAAAGCAATTGATTGATTGATTGTACCAATTTTTTCATTAAAAAAAACTACTCACTGTTCAAAGACAGTGTCTATCAGCTTTTTCTAATCTGAAATAGCTCGGAAAAATAAAAAAATGTATCCCAGAAAGCTCACGTCTCAGGAGGTTTAATGTACATTTAACAAGGCAGTTAATTGTTACTGACTTTGTCCAAAAAAAAGTTAGTTCAAATGTGTTTGCTGAAACACTTTGAGTGTTTGTCTGAATTGCATCCGATCCAGCTGAGTAACAGTCCTCAGGGGATTTTTGTAAGAGAAGAGCCCAAAGGGAGAAAATATAAATAGAATAAAATTGGGTCTAAAATTGATCCCTGTGGCACGCCGCAGGATATTAATGAAGAGGAAGTTTGTAATCCAAACAGGAACTGTTCTGTCTTGTGGGTGGAAGACAAAGTCAGACTCATAATAACGATATAATAAGAATGATTGGCTGATTCAGAAGCAGCTCAGAGGTCAGAACTCCTCTATAGGAATGATTTCCAGTGTAAAGACACCTATACATTACGTTCAGCTGGAGCTTCCAAAGTTGTTTCCAGCTCCTGCAGCACAGACTGAACCTCATATGATTTTTTGAACTGATAACACTGTTGTTTTATCATTGTTATAATAATGCATGCTCAAAAGTTGGCATTCAGTGCAGCAGCAGCAGCCGACGAACACTAACTGTGAAATATGGACAGAAAACAGCAGAGTCTCATTTTAGCAGAATCATATTTTTCTTAAAAATGTAAAAACTTTATTTGGCCAACACAAACATCATTTAAAACAATTAATGCCATACAATCCCTGACACTGCAGCGTTAACATACAAAGCAAATCAAAAAGCTCGTTTCCAGTCATCAGTCCCGCGGATCAGATCAGTCCACACATGGAGAAAACTAAAGTCCACATCAGTCTGAGGTTTCCCTCGTTTCAGTACCACATCGTCTCCGTCACAGTGGTTCTCCTTCTCTTCGCTATTCCAAACTGCTCTCAGCAGCCAGTTTATTACAGCCGTCCGCGTGTCACAGCTCAAAATAAAAATAATAATAATGTTTTTGAAATCATACCGTACCTTAAAAAGTTTTTAGATTAACATTGGAAATGTAACTGCAAAAACAGAAATAAAATCGGGTTTAAATATCATTCTGTGGACACCATTTTAAAAACTCCTCGTTTACAGTTGCAACAGCCTGAATTGTTTGGGACTGTCTCATCAAACGGTTTAAAATGCTTCCTGAAGAAGGTCAACTAGATGTGCATTTGTCAAACCAACAAGTGAATCTCCCTGCTTGAAGTCTTTTCTCTTGTGAAACCAAAACATCAACTCAACCACCAAAACAAATGTTGGGATTGGAACATTTTTACAAACCACTGATACGTTAAATTTTTGTGTTATATGTAGCAGATAACTTGAAACTTTATGTTTCAACAACGCTGTGGTTAAATTTGTGGTAACGTTAAGGCACACTTGGTTATGGCTCAGAAAAGATCATGTTTCGGACCCTGTTGTACCCTGTTTTGGGGGTTCAATCCCTGACTGACACACAGCAATGTCTCTGTGAAAAACAACCGCTTGTTGTGGCAGTATACCAGGTGGGAACAAAGTGACGGGTCCCTAAAAAACACCTGCATTTTGTTTTTAAAAAGCTGCTGGAAACATAGCGATTACTCACTATATCACATCCGATTTGTTGGTCTTGCCTACATGTCACACCATTCCTCACCTCATATACTTTGTCACTTTAGAGACGTTGATATGACACGTATGAAATGTACAAAGGTAACATATTCGTGGTTTGTAGAAATGTACAATGCTAACATTTTGGCCCCTCGTCTGTTTGTTTTGGAGATGAAGAGTTCTCTGAGATAATTCAGCTCCCGGTAAAAACCTCCTGAATAATGAGCGAATTCTAACCAGGAAAGTTTCAGCTGGTTGCAATGTGCTCTCCTCACCAGTAGATGCCACTAAATCCCCCTAAATCTAACACACTGGACCTTTAAATCTCAGTCACAGTGAGTGTTTCCTGCACTCCAGCCTCAGGGGGCAGTAAGGAGCCGATAATGCACCACAGAGAGGTGAAGAAGACGATGCACATGAAAACTTCCTTGGACAAACAGCACAAAGGTGAGACCTCTGCTTTCTCTGAGGTGTTTTTTTTTTCAACACAGTTCAAGAGAAAAGACTTAAAGGATGAGGTTAGTCTGATAAATGTTTCAATGGGAACCATCTGATGACAGTGACACCCACAACTCATCCTCTGAGTTGACCAGCATCAAACTGGCTACTGAGAGTTTCCACCCTTTTCCACCGAAAGGAAATGCTCATTCAAGCAACCAGGAACTTCTCTGGGCTGTGTGTGACTTTAGGGAAGTAAGAATCATCTGAAATGCAGGTCACATGATGCTCTGAGATCCAGAGACATTTAACCAAAACATGAAACAACAAAGAAACTGTTGAAAACTAATGAAAAGAGCTCTCATTGAAGACATCTGTAGTTTTGCTTCTTTGAATCACTAACTCATCTTTAAAGGCTGAAAGATTATTCTCCAGGCACTGGAGGTCTTTTGGAGATGTTCACGTGGACGTACGACTTGATTATGTTATTTGTCTTTCTTCTTTTCTGTTTTGAGCTCGCCCCCTGAAAGTTAAATCCAGCACAGTCAGTTTGGAGTTTCAACTTCTCTAAGATCTCTGCAGTTGAAGCTAATTACAGCGTGACATTTAGGATTCATTTGACCTGCAGCTGCTTTTCTGTGTTTAAAAATAGTTGTTTAAGAGGAAGTACAGTGTATGAGCACTTGGATTTTATCATCATGACAATAAATTTTGGAATGCAGCAACATGACTTAAAGGGACAGTTTGCCCCCAAAATCAAAACTACATATTCCTCCTCTTACCTGTAGAGCTGTTTATCAGTCTAGATTGTGTTGAGCAGCACAAGCTGAGCGCCATCTAGTTCCATTATATTGTAGAGAAGGCAGACATCTCTCCGGCCGATATCTCCAATACTTGGCAACTCACACCAAAACAATCTAGACTAATAAATAGCACAACAGGTCAGAGGAAGATTATGTAGTTTTGATTTTAGAGTAAACCGTTCCTTTAAATCCCATGAAAACTTGGTTTTAAACCTTAAATATAAATAACTGAAAAGGCAGCTGTTCAGGTTTGAAAAAAAGTCATCCTTGGTTGTGTTCAGCTTAAAATAAAAATCTAATGATCTGCTTCATCAGGACTGTGTGGATGTGGTTTGATCACATTTGATCGACAATGTCGGCAACACAAGCCAACAAACCTCAAACAGAAATACAGAAATCTCTCATGCTGAATAACCCAAACTGCTCTGACTTTGGTAGAAAGTTGATGATCACATAGGACCCCACTGCTCATAGCAAGAGGCTGGTTGAGAAAATGAAATGACGCTTATCGAGAAAATGATGAAAATAATCACCCAAACTGTATTTTCTATCTTTATCTGTGGAGCTGACGAACCCAAATTATGATAAACGGTACTATTCTTTCCTTTAAGATTCTGAGCTTGTGTTTGTTTGACCAACACGTGATGTTCCCTCCAGCAGTTCAGTCAACTGACAAGTTGGACCTCGGCCACAGAGACTTTTTCTGAGGTAGGATCTGCGGCGCAAGGAATAATTCAATCAGAACATGAAAAGTTCCTGGGTTCTTGAAAACAGTTCTGGAAAAAGTTCTTGTGGTGGAAAAGGGTCTGAAGTGATGATGTCAGACTGTCAACAAATGGCAGCTAAAAGATCTGAAAGCTGCATTCACGTCACATCAGAAGTGCAGGCGAATGAACGGTAAATATAAAGGTTTTTAAGTCAGCTGATGGTCGCAGGTTCTAGACAGGCCTGGGTAATTACGGTCTCATGAGGATGATTTTAAATGTGTGATGCTGCAGCAACAACTTTCACAGCTGCGTCCGTCTCATCCACACGTTGCCATTTTGGTGGCAATTTCACATCTCCGTTCTGAATCCCAGTTTCAAAGATTTGATTGGTTAACTGTTTGTGGAGGTGGTGGAAACAGTCGTCAATGAGCTAAACACAAACACTCACATGAAACACTGATGTTGTAGATATAGGCAGCAATTCAGAGGTCTGATACCTTGTTCTAATACTTTCTCATATTATGGCTGTAATGACAACTGCCACCTCTAGGGGGTGCCCGCAGAACTACATGTATATATATCAGTCAATTCACTGCAGTGTTTTCTGTCTGTGACATATTTTGGAAATTTAAAACAGCCAGCGCAAGTAATTAGAAAAAGTCAACTGCACTAATCTGAACGTCCACTAGGTGTCAGAATAAACAGGTTGTATTGGTTGTAAATGTGACGTGAACGCAGCTCGAGCACAATTTTACATCTTTTCTTGGATCAACCAACTAAAAGTTTCTCTTCTCTTTTTCTTTTCTTTTCTCTCCTTTTTTTATATAACAACAAAAACCAGCACTTTGTTCAAATGAGAGTAAAAACATACAACAATAACTGAGGTTAAAACAAAGAAATGTTAGCTAAAGGTTTGTTCAGTAGTTCTCTTGAAATTTGGACCACAACACTTTTGTATCGTTCCAGTTTCACCTCTGCTGAAGAAGCACTGAGTTAATTTGGCTGCAACATGTTTTTGATCTGCTTGGAGGTAGCCTCATCGTTCAGATGTTTGGTCGTATACCTGCAGGGAGGGAGCAGGCAGTTTAATGAAAAATAATAACCACAGTATCAGCTCAGGAGAGACAGGTCACTGATAGTGTCACAAAAGTCATAAAAGTAAAAATCACTTTTGACACTTTGGGCCTTTCCAAAACCGGAGCCTTCCCACTCCCACTCTGTCTCACAGTGTCACCTTCACAACTGTTACAGGCACTAGAGAGGTGTAGAAAAAACAGTATAGCTTTTAAGATGTTAACGTCTGTATGACAATAATAAATGTCTTTCTTAGTTTGAACAGTTTCCACTCCTCAAGGTGGCTGCGTGGAACTTTTGTTTGCATTGAGCTTCCTCCATGACGGACACAGTTCTGTGTTGCACATGGTCAGTAAGTCAATATCGATGCAGGCTCGTTGTTGGAGGGTTTTATAACTCACTTCCACTCCTCACTAGACGGTACTCAATGTGGTGGACGCTCCACATGAACGTGAAAACGGAACAGACGTGTGTGTGGAGAGTGTGTAGGGCAGGGGTCAGCAACCTGACCGATCGAAAGAGCCGTTTATGACCAAAGATACTTTTAAAAGTTTTCCTGGAGCCACAAAACACATTTGAGCCTGATGGTAACACTGCGTGTGAAGACTAAACCAGTCTATCGACATTAAAATGGGTCTAAATGAACATTCAAACACATGTTTTACCACAAGATGGCTCCTCTGCAGTGAGCTACTTGTACATATTTAGTGCTTTAACTTTGCAGTGTTGACAGTGAAAGCAAACCAATCTGTCCACGCACTATTAAAGTCTGTAATTTCTTCTGACAGTTTTACTTTTACCCTGACTTGTGAACAAGACCCTGAGATACTTGAACTCCCTCGCTTGAGGCAGCAACTCTCTCAGCCCAAAGTGTTTACTGGTCCATCTACCCTCACCTGTGGTCATGAGCTATGGGTAGTGATCAAAAGAATGAGATCACGGATACAAGCAGCCGAAATGAGTTTCCTCTGTAGGGTGTCTGGGCTCAGCCTTAGAGATAGGGGGAGGAGTCAGACATCTGGAGGGAGCTCGGAGTAGAGCCGCTGCTCCTTCATGTTGAGGTGGTTCAACATCTGATCAGGATCCTCCTGGGTGCCTCCTGTTAGAGGTTTTCCCCGGGGCAGACCCAGAACACACTGGAGGGATTATAGATCTCATCTGGTCTGGGAACGCCTCGGGGTCCTCCAGGAGGAGCTGGAAAGTGTTGCTGAGGAGAGAGACGTCTGGGGTGCTTTGCTCAGCCTGCTGCACCCGTGACTTTTACTTTTATGGATTTGGAATCCATTGTTAGCCTCATTGGGGAGGCTCATGGCGAGCTCTAATTTAGAGGAAAAGGCGCCGGGCCATAGACCTATGACGCACATTTAAGCTGATGAAATGTTCAAACTTTTTTTTTTTAAATACAGAGCACAGGCTTCACATTTTTACAGCTGGAGAATTTAAGAATTTCTTTAGGCCGACGATGATAAATAAAAAAGAAAAAAAAAAAAATGTTCTTTATTTTCATGTGATATTTTTTTGGTGTCAGGGGCAGTTTGGGAAAGGCCCAATGTGTCTGGTTTAAAATGATTTCTGTCACTGCCTCAGTGTGTGTGATGTGTTTGTGGCGTGTCAGACCTGAGAGCGTTGAGTAATCCCTCCACACTGCTGGGCGGCTGCTCCTTCAGCACTCTGATGCAGCCTTTCATCTGAAAAAATATTATTATTATTGTTTAGATGTTTCTTCATGAATATTCGACTTTCAAAGTTAAAATCTGGAGTATCTCAGTGTGGCGAAAGATGTCCTTCCTCAGGTGTCACTTATTAAGGGGAGACAGCTCAGGTGAATGAGGTAAACATTTTAACTAATAGATATCACCATGAAACTTATGAACCTACGACAGTGACGGTCAGTCTTGGCATCAAAAATTGAAATGGAATTTAAGACATCTGCTTTTATCACTTCATAAATCAGAAAATACTGTCAACAAATACTGCTGCCATGTTTTTAGGAATAAAATGTGCGTTTAATGTGTGGTTGTGTGGTTGCCTTGCTAACGTACGTCTATATTGGAGGTCTTAACGAAGGCTCCGGCCGGGTGAACGTGGTCGTACAGGATGATGACGCCGACCATCACACGCAGGCAGAACAACACTGTCTCCTCACTGGCGAAGCGACTGCGATACTCCCTGCACACACACACACACACACACACACACACACACACACACACACACAGTGTTGGTTCATGTCTGAGGCAGGTGGCTGTGATGACGCGTTCAGGAACATGTCAGGACTCACGGTGTTTCCAGCATCACTTTGCACACGCTGGCCATCGTACTCAGACAGTCTGTCGTGTTTTCAATCGGGACGTCTGGATTCTGCACGACAACAGGACAATAAAATGTCATTCACAAACCACGACCAGTAGATAAATGGTGTGTGGAAGAGGTGAACAACTGTCATATCATATAAAAACCTCTCGTACCCAGTGGTGAACAAAGTATTCAGATATTTAATCTAAGTAAAAATAGTAAAAATGTAACTGTAAAAGGAACAAAAATAAAAGTATTATTTATGCAAAAAGAAAGTGTGTTACATTATTAAATAGACTGTGATAATGTTTGATTATTAATACAGTTGCATTAATATATGGAGTATCGAGTAACTGAGAAGACGGTGACTCTACTTAATCTATAGCTGGGTGATTTAATCTGTGTCAGCACATCATATTTAACATTTTGGTCTTTTATTACTGTGTAAACTATTAATCTGCACAGTTACTAGTAATTAAAGTTGTCAGATAAATGTAACTAAGTAAGAAGTACACTACTACCCTCTGAAATGTAGAGTACAAATATAAAGCAGCAGGAAATGGAGTACAAGTAAAGTAAAGGTGCCTCAATGTACTTTTAATTACTTACTACTTATAATTACTGTTTTACTTTCTGAAAATAGTTTTAAAAAATGCATATTATGAAATAAAAATGGTTAAACTGTAATAATGCACGTGTAACTTAAATATGGAGACAAATGAGAAAGAGAAAAATAATAACAAAACATCAAACTAAACTTCTGATAATAACCTGAGCTGTTTCATAATAATACAGTCGGCTCTTTGTGATTTATTGCCTCTCATGAGTGGAATTTAAACTCATTTAAAAATGAGAGAAAAGACTTTAACATAACTTGAGCATATTTCAGTAAATCACACACTGCACTGTTTAAACATGATCTCCTCCTCCACCTGCCAATGCACTTTTTAATTTAATGTAATTTTTGCGATAACGATATTCTTGACGATACGACAAATTAGTAAAAAAAAAATTAAAAATTAATTATTCATTTAAGAAAATAAAATTGCAGCAAAATCAGTGACATAGTTTTTTCAGTTTGCTTCAAATATTGGGCAACATTTTTAAAATCATCTCTCATGTCTTTAGTTTGTGAACAACAACAGCAACTCAGAGTCAGATTCAGATCCTGTCACAATATTAATAGTTCAACTAAATCAAATCTGCCACTAATTACACATTTAAACAAATGTCCCCTGGATCTATATATACACATCAGCAGCTGATTTCCTTCTCTTTTTTATGCTCTGCCATTTCTCCTCTAACCATCAGGCTGTAACCTGTGACAGGCTGTTATGACACAGTCACATATATGGAGTTTATTCACATCAGCAAAGGTTTGTGACAGAATCAGAGAGCAGAGGGAGAGACGCTGTGCTGCTGCCAGAGGAGCCGCTGAATGAGTTCCCTCTGAGCGCTACAAGAAGGAAAACATTCAGGACGCCACACTTTATTCCACACTACTGAAGCTGCTCCTCTTTCTGGAACCACCAAGGAGTCGCTAATAATTTCGCTTTCAGCCATGATTGTTGTCGCCCGGGGCAACAGTGTGACGTCAATGTGTCAACAAGTCAAAATATCGCAAGTATCATGATATGAATTTTTCATATTATATTAAAATTCTACCAGTGTTATCGTGAACAAGATGACGTGGCACACTCCTAATAACTAGGCGATAAAAACACTTACCTCAGTAAACATGGCGGCGGACGATAGAGATATTCTTTTCTTTGTAATATGTGGACACAACATAAGCTACTGTAATGTCAAACATTAAACTGTGAAGTTGAAATTTGATAAAAAAGGAATTATATATTGTATGTACCAAATGGGCTTCTGGGGTCTGATTTTTTTTGCCATGTAGCTGGTTGAAAACTCTGCTTTTAGTATTTTCTGGCCTGTGACAATCTGAGAAGTGTGGCCCTCTTGTATTATTAATTATTCAGCTGATAAAAAGCTGTGAAGAAACAAAGTTCCTGTCTTCTACTCTGGAGAAAAACATGAGAAAGCATAAAGATATTCATCACAGCTTTATGTTTTGTAACAGAGGCGAGGCTACAGGGTCCCTGAGGATTTATTTCTCCTCATGACTTCATGAAGCACTCAGAGTATTTGGTGAGGGCGACCTCTGCTGGAGCCTTATGAAAAATACAATACACAGTCCTGCTGGTGACCCCTGCAGGCTGAAACTGTCATCACACCTCCCATATGACGAGATTAAATAAGATTTTCTTTCTGTTCATCTACATGAACTTTGACCTCAGAACTTTTACACAAGGCAGCAGAATCAGTGAGTTCAGTGACTCTAAAATCACTCCTCAAACTAAAGTTACTGACGTGAGCACATCATTTTATTTCCAACATGTCTTCTCTATATTTTTTATGTGATTGCTTTTTATTTATTTATGTTTTATGTCGTATTTTTGTTATTACATGTTTTTATTTTTTTAACTGCAGTTCTGAATTCTGTTTTTATTCCTGGTTCAACCATGTTCAGCACCTTGTAACTGTGTTCGGGAAAAAGTACTGTATAAATAAAGTTTGTTATTATTACTATTATTATTTTTATGTTTGCATCTTCCTGTTGTTTCCTGTTTTTTCAGCAACAAACCAACAAACCAAAAGGCTTATTTACTTCGTAAAAGTTCAATCCAAACATTATAATTATAAACAAAACAAACAAGTAAAACTGCCAGTATACCGCCTCGCTGTTCTGTATAAGAGGTACGATCACAGAGTGGGGAGTTGTCTCGCCTTTAAGTTGCCAGCGGAGGCAGTAACAGCGCCGTCTGTATAAACAGGACAGCTGACAGGACAGGATCATGGCCGGCATGGTTGTGATGTTTTGATGACGTGCTGTGTGTGTTATTTGTAGCAGTTAGCAGCTAACTCAAAGAAAATGTCCACTCCTTACCCTCCAAGCAGAGAACGAGATCAGCAGCCATATAACAGGGACGCTAAATGATTGTTATGTTCATGTGATGTCATCGTTACTGTTCATAAAGTGCTGCCGACGCGTATGTTATACGTCACACTTAAGGCTGCAGACGCTGTTGAGTTACAGGACACGCCTCTTCTGATTCCAAAGTGCCGACATGCTGTCTAAAATCACACACTGGAGCGAAAAGATGCGAACCAGCGTTTGGTGCTGTGTAAAAATGCAAAGGAGGTGTAAAGAAGGGACTCTTTAGCGGCTCTATAGCGCCATCTCTGTGTAAAAAAGGCGGCTGAATAAATGAGTCAGCTGTGCAACCCTTCGAAACCTGGAGTGACATCACTTTCCCTGTGCTGCTTTCAAACACCTTTCGCAAGTTATCTAAAACTTTGAACTCTGAGCACACTGCTGCGATTTCTTTCACAAATATGGGAAAAAAGGCAACGGCCAACTTGGTAAGGAATGTCCCACAAAATGCAAAAAATAGATTTAGAAAATTATTTTTAAAAAGCAACTATATTAAGCTGGGGAAAAACCATATTTATAATTATTATTATTACATTTTTGAATTATGTTACAGAATTATTCTAATTTTTAAGAACTCTTTCCAGCTTATTTCCTTGTTTTTCTTTTTTTTTCTTTTCACTAATTTCTTGCAGTTTTTTTTGGGTCATTTCGTCTTTCGTTGCTCATCGTCTTCTTCCCGTGCTTTAAAAGAAATCAAGCCGATTTGCTCAGGTTTCAAAGGATTAATTAATAAATTCAATCAGGAAACAAATAATAATATAATCTTGGATGGACTCACATCTGAGACGAACTTTGATGTGGCGTCACTTAGCGTCTTCAGCATCGGCGTGGAGCTGGCGTAGAACAGAGACATCCGATTGGCCAGCTCGTTGTTGACCTCATTTCCTGCGTCGGCCTGGTGGGGAAAAAAAATAAAGCAGCGGTTGCCATGGAAACCCGGTCAGCTGCGTTGTGACAGAATGTTTCGAGTTGATTCTGAGAGGTTATAAAGGTGAGCTGGTTTCACGTACAAGGTCTCAACATTAACAAAGTTTTTGGAACTTTATTTTCGTTCCCAAACCTTCCAAAACCTCTGACATGTCAGAAACAACACGTCAGTTTTATGGCAGACAACAGTAAACAAACAGGTGTGTTGTTCTCTGTGTGTCTTACAGACAGGTTGTTGATCCGCATGCGGCTGATGGTTCGGCGATAATAGCTGAAGTCGTTCTGGATGGCCGGGTTCGTCATCTGGGGATCATGAAGAGAAGAAGAACATGAAGAGGACGATGGCGAGGGGTCAGGGTTGGTATTAATGTACCTATTAAGATCCTTAGGAGGAGGAGGAGGAGGAGGAGGAAGGAGGAGCTCAAAATAAAGGGTGTGGCTGATAAGGTGAGGAAGATGAAGAAAGAGGGTATTTCTGTGAGTAGGAAAGGGATGAGGCAGAGGTAAAGGAGGGGAGGTGCAGAGGAGGTGCAGGAGGAGCAAAGTGGACCTTGAGCTCATGAAGTGCAGGATGTAGAGGAGGTAAAGACAGGGAGGTGTAGAGGAGGAGCAGGAGGTGGAGGACTAGCAGAGCAGACCTTGAGCTCATCAAAGCACAGTGTAAAGTGTAGGATGTAAAGGAGGTAAGGAAAGGGAGGTGGAGAGGAGGTGGAGAAGGTAAATGAGGGGAGGTGTAGAGGAGGTGAAGACAAGGAGGGGTAGAGGAGGAGGAGAATAGGAGGAGCTGAGCAGACCTTGAGCTCATCCAAGCACAACATGAAGTGCAGGGTGTGGAGGAGGTAAAGAAAGGGAGGTGCAAAGGAGGAGCAAGAGGAGCAGAGTGGACCTTGAGCTTGTTGGAGCGCAGTGTCAAATGCAGGATGTGGAGGAGGTAAATAAGGGGAGGAGTAGAGGACGTGTAGCGGAGGAAGAGCAGGAGGAGCAAAAGGAGCACAGCAGACCTTAAGCTCGTCGAAGCGCAGCGTAAAGTGCGGAATGTTGAGGAGGTAAATAAGGGGAGTAGTAGAGAAGGAGCAGGAGGAGGAGCAGGAGGAGCACAGCAGACCTTGAGCTCGTCGAAGCGCAGCGTGAAGTGCAGGATGTGGGCGAACTGACGAGCCAGTGCCTGTTTCTGCTCCAGGTGCTGAGTGGGAGTCGAACCCGAACTGGTGAGGATGTTCAGGAGACACCGCAGGCTGGACTCTGACAGGAGGGGGAGGACAGGAGGGAGGACAGGAGGGAGGACAGGGGAGGACAGGAGGGAGATGGGGGGAGGTGAGGGGTGACAGGTAAGTTCTCCAACAGTAATCACACATCCAGTCAGCTGTCTCCAGTTTCTTTCATTAGAAAATTAATAAGACAAACACACGTGTTGAATAACGAACATGAAACTTTTCATCTCAATAATGCTGTCGTTAACAAGTCGTTATGTTTAGACACAAAAACCCACTTCGTCAGTGTGACACCACCCATCATCCATCCAGTGTGACACCACAACTGTCAACGTCTGTTCTTTAATTTAACGTCCTGTGAGTTTTATTCTCTGAGATATACCGAGAGGTTTATATGAACTGAAATATCGTTGTCAGGTTCTTACCGAGTTTCTGGGAGAACTCATAGAAGGTTTTCAGTTTACCAACCAGAGGAACCACAGCTGCCCAGGCCTTCTCCTGTACCCCCTCCACGCCAGGACTCTGGATGGCCTGAACACACACACACAGGGGACATTTTAGCTTCCTGTTGTTTTCACAGTAAAAGCCTGAATACAGTTGTTAAATAACTAGTCAGATCCATTATTCCATCATGTCGCTCCAGTGTGTGATTTTAGACAGCATGCCGGCATCATGGAGTCCGAAGAGGCATGATGGGCGTGACGTGTAACTCAACAGCGTCGGCCACTAGTGTGACATGTAACATACGTGCCTGCAGCGCTTTATAAACAATAACAATGACATTAACGTGTCAGTAAGAATCATTTAGCGTCCCTGTTATATGGCGGCTGATCTCGTCCTCCGCTCGGAGGGTAAGGAGCTCCTGGACCTCAGTGTGTTCACTATTTGAGGACATTGTCAGTCGCTGTTCTTCTTCTGTGAGTTAGCTGCTAACTGCCATCAGCTGCTTTTTAAATCTCCTGCAGTGGGTTGCACACATTGAGACAACCTGTATTGTTCCATTAGGTTACACCTCAAGAACTCCCACAGTCACACCCACCTCCTCAATTTGTCGACTGATCGCGCCGCTATTCAACTCAACCTCATTCAGGGGCAGAGAGGGAGCAGCAGGAGGAAGACTGGGTGCTAATTTTGCACTGAATTTATGATACACACTGCTGGGCGTTGAAACTGTTGTGTGCAGTAGTTTTTGTGCTGTCACAGAAAACCCACAACTAACTAAAACCTGACTATCTTACAAATTAAAACAAAACAATAAATAAATAAAATGAAACTTCTACTTCAAACTGTCACACGTCACGTCGTCAAAGCGTCACACCCGTCCTGTCGGCTCTCCATTTACAGACATCATTTCAGTGCTGTTCCTTCCTCTGCTGCCGACTCACAGGCGAGACAACTCTGTCCGTTCATTCTGCAATCGTACCTTTTATACAGGACGGCGAGGCAGAATAACGGCGTGACATTCCCGCCTTAAAGAGGCCGTGTAAAAGCAGCTAGTGTTTCTCTGATGCCGTTTAGCGTGTCGGATACAGGCCGCTAATCCAGGACGTGCTAATGTGTGCTCATGTTTTCTCTCTGATAACTTGAGATCAAGAAGTTCAGGGTTTTTTTTTTCTGGGAGCCGAATTACTTTCCAACACTCTCTTCACGGAGGGGCTTTGAGTAACAGTGGCTGACATGAAAACGTAAATGCACAAAAACTTGAATGTCCCTCTCTAGAGCCTGTGTTTGGTTTGTCTGGGCTACTGTAGAAACATGGCGCCGCAACATGGTGATCTCTGTAGACGAGGACCTGCTCCCTGTGTAGATATAAACGTCTCATTCTAAAGTAGCAAACACTATTGTCAGCTGATTACACACTAAAGAAAACACACTCATTATATTATATTTCCTGCCAATATATCTCCCTAAATCTGACACACTGGGCCTTTAAGTACGTTACTTGAGTAAATGCACTCACCTGTCGTATCTCCTCTCCTGCTCCTCTGTACGCCTGCAGGTCGTCCAGGATGACCCGAGCCTCCGTCAGTACCTGGTTCACCTCCTCCCACACCGCCGTCTCTGACTGTGAGGGCTGAGCATCTGCAGGGAGAAACACAGAGGTCAAAGGTCAAACACACTCTGCTGTCTTGCTGTCAGTGTGTGTGTGTGTGTGTGTCTTACTCTCAAAGTCCAGGAAGAAGTTTCCACCATTGTTGTCGATGTCTCTGGTTAACACCTTGATCAGGTTCCCCATGCTGTCACACAGAGGTGGAAGGATTTCAGTTTCAGACAGTGGCAGCGAGGACGCTCTGCTCTTACAGTATTCATATATATATAATCAATACAGTGATTAAAAGCCACAGAAATTATTCATAGATTACTGACAGCTTAATTCACAAAGAATGGATTGTGGCCTCTGAGCACCATGAAATGCGCATCACTTGCAACCACTATCTGCTCTGGCTCAAGGTGCAGTTCACTAAAGATGCAGCACAAAAACACGCCCATACAGTTTTACAGCAGGGTGTAATTTGTATTTTTTTGCATCTAAATTGAATGTGACAAAGTTCTAATGCTGCTCCCGTGCCAAGAACACAATCAGTAGAGCGACGGGGAGAGAAACAGAAAAGCTCCAGGACCTGACAGACGAACCTCAAACAGGAATTTACTAAGGATAGACCGATACATCGGCCGGCCGATATATCGGGCCGATATTTGAGTTTTTTACTTGTATCGGCATTGGCCGATACGTGCCTGGGTTTGCGGATTTATTTTTCCCTGGTATGATTTACAGACAGGCATCCACGGGCAGCTCTGTGTTGCCGGAAGACCCTGCAGCGCACATGCAGCGAATCCTACTGTGTACAGTAGTTGTTGTTTTATTTATGCTTCAGCTTAAATATTTGTTTATTTTATAAAGACATTACTGGAAGATTTAAGAGCACTGAACTCTTTTTTTTATTTGAATGTATAATAATAATAATAATAATAATAATAATATTCTACCTGTTCTACCTCAACTTTCCATCTTGTTTTAGTATTTTTTACTGTTCAATAAATGTTTCTTATTTTAAACTTGAGACCTGTAATATTTGTTATCATTGTGTCATTTTTTTGATGTAAATTGAGGGAGCAAAAGCAGTATTGGCCCCAAATATTGGCTCAAGAAAATCGGCAGTCCATAATCGGTCATCGGCTAAGGGTGATGGAAAAAAATCGGTATCGGCATTGGCCCTAAAAAATCCATATCGGTCTATCCCTAGAATTTACACATGACAGAAAGAAAGTGTGTTTGAGATTTATGATCTCGGCCTGTCTCTGAAGACACTAATGATTTCACTGTAACTGTGTGTGGCTGTTAGCGCTGGTCTCTGTGAACTGGACTGTTTTTGCACAGAAAGGTGCTAACTTTGCACCAAATGAAGATCACCTCATGTGAATACACAGGAGCACTGAGACACTGGTCAGGCAGAGCCCTACACTGTCCAAACCCTGGTTATCACGGTGACTGGCTTTAATAAATTAACCTTACATCAAACAAGAACATCCATGTTGAACAGTCTACATTATGTTGTGCATTAAAGGGATACTTTGGATTTTTGATGTGGGGTTGTATGATGTCACTCACCACGCTCCCAGTTTAAAGAAGCAGGCCGATAAGGAAGCCAAGCAATGTGCTGCTGTGGACGGGTAATTAACAAAATGCATTTTAGCCACATTAAAAAAGTCCCACCTAAGTGCTGAATTACCACCTCGTGGTTGTTCGCCTATTATCTGACCAAATGTCTCCCCTTCTGTTCCTGAGATATGACGTTAAAACATGATGATGTCACAGTCAAGCTGACCTTTGACCTTTGACCTTCATTATTTTATCCTGTCAGACATTTGTGTTTTGTTTTGTTTTGTTTTGCCATAACCAGTGTGTAGATTCTTGAGTTATGGCCAAAAACATATTTTGTGAGGTCACACTGACCTTTGATCTTCAACTAACAATTTCTAATCAGTTTATTCTTCAGTCCAAGTGGACGTTTGTGCCAAATTTGAAGAAATTCACTCAAGGCATTCTTGAGATATTGCATTCACTGAATGGGACAGACACATGTGCTGACATACAGCCTGACGGATGGACTGACAACCCGAAAAATATAATGCCTCCGGCCACGGTTATCGTCAGTGCAGAGGCATAAAAATCGATCTCAGTTTAAAGCCCTTTTTAAACAGGAGTTGTGCAAATTTGCAGGAAAGCCCAATCAGTGTTTTTTCAGCATTGGCAGTATAAAAACAAAATCAGGGAGTGCAGCAAAATGCCGCCTACCTACTTTTGTTTATACAGAATGAGCCTTTTTCGGGGCAATGGGGGGCGTGAGCAAGTAACAAAACGTGTAGCTCAGCGTGTGACGTAAACAGTGACGTGGGAGGGAAGCCGCGGCTGGTCAGTCCTTCAGTGATTCTCTCGTAAGTCGGCCCGTTCTTCACCGTCCCCGTCATCTGACGGTTAATGGCCTCTTCGTTTGCGAGGACAAGGAGGGCGCGCTATTCCTTGTCTCCCCAGTTGCTCATCTTTACAGTGTCTGTCAGGTTTGTGTTTCCCTCTTGATACTAGCTGCTCACTAATTCCTGCTATCAGCTGTTTCCTGTTTATCCACCGCCAGTGGCTCGCACGTGCGGCGTCATCAACAGCTCCTCCCACAAGTCTTCAACAGCCCCTTTAAACTAAAAGGGTTCCTCCAATATGTCTACCCTACGAGGCGGAAAATTGGGCACCTCCGATCAACTCGCCAATCCGCCTCTGTGTGTCTAAACACTCACAGCTTGGCCCAACATTAGCCAAAAATCTGGCAGTGTAAAAGGAGCTTAAGTGTTATATTGAGAGTATTTTCAACGCTCTACCTTTCTGTCAGACAGCCAAGTGCAACAGTAGACCAACAGCTCCTGTGTTCAGTGAGCTAAAATTACTGTTTTTGTCAATGGAGTCTGGTGACTGTGACGAGAGTATAGATGTGGAACTGGAGTCGTTAACAGCTTCTGTGTTGGAACGGACTGTCTGACAGAGAGATAAAGGAAAATACTCTCAATATAGCGCACACTGAAACTGATTTTGATTTTTTTAGGTGGTTAAAATATGTTTTGTTGCTGAGCCTCTCACAACATGATTGCTTAGCTTCCATGTCAAACTCCAGCCTGCTTCTTCAAACTGCAGTCATGCCGACTGACATCGACTGTATGTAATAGCTACACTGACAATGGATAAGTAGCTCACTCAACTTCAAAAAATCTGAACTGTCTCTTTAACAAGTGAAGGAGGGGGAAATGAGCTGTTGAGTTCAGTTAAACTCTAATTTATTTAGAAAGGTGAAACATCTAAATTTGAACACAGGTTCATGAGAGAGAACCAGCCCAAGGCCTCGACTCGCTGATGTAGCGCGGCTTTCTTTATTTCAAAAACCAAAAAGTGTTATTACACCTTTATCATTATTACCACAAACCATCAGACACAACTTTGACCTGTTGGTTATCACAGTGCGGCTGCAGGTCAGGCTGGAAACCAACCTGCACAAACTCACAGATCCTCATTAAGATGGATCTCAGCCTACAAACCTCAAGTTCAGACTCATGCTGTTTGAAATTTTATCTTAAATTCACCAAAAACCAAACGTGTTCCGCTGTGTCTTTGTGTAAATGTGTCTGAAGTGATTCAGCAAAACACGTGGAGCCTGTGGTTTGAATAACAGCAACATACTGTATATGATGCTACAACTTTACAGCCGCTGACTGTTGGTGTAAAAAAGGAAACTGAACTTTCTGCAGATAAACAAACTCAAATAAAAGCGACTGCTCCGCAGACCGACGCAGCTTTGCTGAGTTTGTGAGCTGCAAACTGAACTGGAAGCAGCGTCTTCTCGTTAAAAACAGTTCAAAAAGAGGAAGTGATGAAGTCTCTGAAAGTTTGGCCTAAATTTAAAACAGAGGAAGTAAAGCAGACTGAGCTCAGATCAGGTAAGAAGACAGAGTAACAACAGTAACAGCAGCACAAGAGACACTTCAGAATCTAAAACCACGTCAGACAAATGTTTAGCTACTCAGAGGAAATCTCCTCTCGGTGTCACAGCGATGGAAGGAAGGAATATTCTGCTGAAACCTTAATACCACAGTGTAAAGATCAGCCAAAACACATTATTTCACTTCATATATACGATCAGTTTCTCAATGATAAATCCTTCATCACACGGCCACGGCTTCAAAAAGGAAGGATCAGTTATTTAAAGGATGTTTACACGTGTTTATTCTGGTGTTTAAAGTATTTTAATATATATTCTGTGCAGGTGTACAGTCCAGCTTCACTTTGGTTCTCTGGCTTCATTTATGTCTTTGTTTTGCACATTTCAAACCGTCCTCCTGTTTGCTGACTTTTATTTCAGCACGATCTCAGCTACGAGTCTGACTTCTCGTTTTGTCGTTGTGACAAAGCTTCCAGGAACTCAAAACGACAAGTACAAGTACAGTGACGCGAGCGTCTGTAAAACTGCCCAAATCCTCAGTGATGATCACTCAGAATAATCTTATAGAGTTATAGTTGGTTATCATGAGTTACACTCTCTATTTTGTTGCACATTTTTCATGTCCTGTCGCTGAATGTGCAGGTGTGTCACAGACAGTATGTCATGATTGTTTTCTTTCTTTGTATTTGGGATTGAACCTCTTTTTCTTTCACTAGATGTGTGAATCACTCCCAGTCTGTATTTACCTCATTTCTTTTAATTGCTTTTTCGAGTGGGTTACACCAATATATCATGTGACCTGTGTCACCTGACCTCTACGTGAGTTTTTTGATTGCACACCTGTTTCCACTGCATTTTATACCCTGATGAAGACTCTCCAGTCGAAACGTGTTGGTTTATCTGTGAATTAGTGAATGATTTTTAACTAAACCAGAGAGCCTCGGGTGCATTTTTGGACTGCCTGCCTGTGCGATGGACTCTTACAGAGGAAGCTGACCAGTCGTTTTTTATCTTTATAATATTATAAAACAGCTGAAGGTTGTAAAAATACTGTTTCATGAGTTTGCACATAAAAAATGCACAAAAAACCCTATAAAACAGGCTACTCACATGCAAAGTGATTTAATCCAGAGTTGTTTTGGTGCCTTTTTCACTGAAAGTCTGCAAATCGCTGAAAATATTAATCATTCACAGTTTTAAACATTTCTGTTAAAATATTTAGACGAGTTCGACGATAAATTAAAAGTACAATTCAGTTTTTCATTCTGTTTTAAAACATATACAAAATGAACGTTTCCTGCTTCGTTAAAAACACCCTCACTGAGACGCATTGTTTATTAAGGTTGTTGGTTTGTAGAAAGACGCTCTGAAACCGAAGCGTTCTTCCATTCAGACTTAAATCATCAGCAGATTATCTCCTTGAATAAGCAATAAATCGTTTATTCTATGAAGTGTCATTACTTGTCGTACAGTTAGCTGCTTAGACCTGTAAGAGGATATTTCTACATCCTTGTATCTCTAATTTAATTTCAAGGGAACGTTTAGATTTTTTGAAGAAGGGTACTCATCTATAGTCAGTGTGTTACCTACAGTAGATGTCAGTCGGCGCACACCCAGTTTAGAGAAGCAGGTTGAAGTCTGACATGAGCTAAGCAATGTACAGCTGTGGAGGGGTCGGCAACAAAACGTATTTTAGCCGCCTAAAGAAGCTCCCACTTAAAAGAAACAATAGGACTTTAGTTGTACGCTATATTGAGAGTATTTTCACTGCCTTACTTTTCCATCAGACAGTTTGGTCCAACGGGGAAGCCACATCTTTGCTCTCGTCACAGCCAGACTCCATTGACTAAACCAGTACTTTTACCTCACTGAACACAGGAGCTGCTGGTCTACTGCTGCCTCCATCTGTTATGTTGTGTTATTGTGAGACTGTGGTGTTTAAAAGAATTCGTTCAGATTCCCCAAAGTCTCACAATAACACATGAACAGATGGAGGCAGCAGTAGACCAGCAGCTCCTGTGTTCAGTAAGGTAAAAGTACTGGTTTAGTCAATGGAGTCTGGCTGTGACGAGATTATAGATGTGGAACTGAAGACACTTACAACTTCCTGTTGGAACCGGCTGTGTGGCGGAAAAGTAAGGCGGTGAAAATACTCTCAATATAGCGCATACTTTAAGGGTTATCGTTTCTTTCAGGTGGTAAACAGTACACTGCTTTGCTTCTGCTTCGGACTCAAGGCTGCTTCTCCAAACTGGGGGCGTGTCAGCTGACATCTACTGCGTCTAACACACTGACTGTGGGTAAGTGCCTCGTACACCCCCACTTCAAAACATCCAAGCTGTCCCTTTCAAAAGTTGCAAGTAAATCTTCAACAACCGCTCATGTGTTAACATGTAACCTAGAGCGGCAACATGTGATCGATCAGTTGATGGAAAGAAAATGAATGTGATATGAAGTCACTGTCTCGTTCATTTTCTTCTACAACAATGCTTCCAAACACTGGACGTATTTAATTACATGATATTAAAGTGAACAACTTTGGGATCATCAGTCCCTTAAAGGTTCGTCTCCTGCTCTAAGACGCTGTGACGGACATTTTTCAGCCGTTTAATTCTGAGATCAATTCATCAGTGATAATAATAATGTGAACAATATTTTATATTGTTGGAGAGTTTAATGTGAGGCTCAGCAGAGTTTGCGGTACAGGTCTGCAGGTAAAGTGTGTGCTCAGGTACATTCCAGGAGTGATAACTGCACAGCATCACGCAGGACTGCAACATTAACCTCCGGCTCACATCAAACGTTCAGCGTGACTCTGACAAATACACCTCTTTCACTTTCAGGGCTCAATTTTAGATTCAGCCGCTCGTACGTCTGTCGTCGTCTTATTACAGCGACACTTGAAATGCAGTGTGTAGCAGAGTACTGTTGGCAGCAGTGGAAGAAACGCTCAGATCTTTCACTTCAGTAAAAGTCGTAATACCACAGTGTAGAAATACTCTGATACAAATCCTGCAGTCAGAGTTTACTTCAGTCAAAGTACAGCATCAAAATATACTTTGTACATCACGCAGTACATTCATGATGTGAAATTATTGATGGTTAATTAACTGTCACTGTAATGTTGCAGCTGGTGCTCTGCATGCTGCAGTGTATATTTGTATCAATAAACTGAAGCCATGCAGTATAAAGTATTACTATTAGTATCAAGTAACAGAAAACAACTACACTAAAGTACAAGTACTTCAGCGCAGTACTCTGTTACTTTGCACCACTGTTTGTTGTTGTACCTTTGTGGTACTGATTATTCTTCCTGCACTCACGTTGCCTCATCTGTAAACTCTCAGCTGCAGCTTGAAGTACAATGTTTAACTAAACGCAGATACTCGCAGTACAAGTACTTCAAAATGTTCCTTAAGCGTCGTAGCTGCTGTTGCCGTTGTGTTTTGTGGTATTAATACTTCAGAGGTTATTTTGTCTCTTCCTGCGCTCACCTCACAGCATCTCTGTAAACTCTCAGCTGCAGCTGCAGATGTTTGCAGTACAAGTACCTCAAAATCATACGTAAGTGCAGTACTTTGTCCCTGTCCATGACTGTCTGTTGTTGTAGTTTTGTGGTATTAATACTTTAGAAATTATTATTTTCTTCCTGTGCTCACATCACAGCATGTCTGTAAACTCTTAGCTGCAGCTCAAAGTATAAAGTTTGACAAAACACAGATGTTTGCAGTACAAGTACTAAAAAGGTTTACACAAGGACAGATGTTGTTGTGATTTTGTGGTATTAGTACTTCATAAATTATTTTGTTTTTCTCCCAGCACTCACATCACCTCTGTAAACTCTATATACGTTATATAAACGCAGCGCTGCACAGCTGCAGCACTCAGGTAAATGTAGGTTACTTGGCGGCTGATTACGTACATACAGTAGGCCTGCACACACGGTGTCGTCACATACCTTCAGTAACCGCCGTGATGTTAATGCTCCAATAATCTGATCTCAGAGCAGAAATCAAACCTGAGCCGACGCTTGTTGAGCAGTGACGTAACAATAGTGTCGTAATAACCATATAATGACGTTAATAATGAAGAGAAAGCAAAGTTGAGGCTTGGTGTCAGAGTGCAGCAGCAGCAGCAGCAGCAGCAGCAGTGTGCAGGACCTGACATGTCTGATCTGAGACCAGGATCCACCCAGACGGGACTGAGCCCACCAACACCGCCCCCCCGGCCCAGCACACAGCCCCCCCTGCTCCTCACCTTCACTGATAGCTGATCGATATGTGCGGATCGATCCCGTGTGTGTCGGGGCTCCGGTGTGTCCTCGGTGGTCCAGGTGTCTCCCGGCGGTCCGCCTCCTCTACATGCTGAGTGAGTGTGAACCCGGAAAACAGCCGCTCGGCGCTCCGTTAACTATAAAAGGAGTGATTTCCTCAGGAGGAACTGAACTCTGAGCCAATCAGCGAGCCGCGAGGCAGCAACTGCAACTGCAACCTCACTGTCGGCCGACGGAGGCAACCTGAGCTCCACTGCAACTACAGCCGAGAGAACCGGGCGAGTTCTGAAGCCAGTGTATGGGAGATCATTCCTGCCAGGAAGAAATTAAATAATGATGATTTAAAAAGAAAATAATAATTAAATTAAAAAAATCAAAAAGTAGTCATTTAAAATTAAAATATTAATTTTCTACTTCAGCTATGAGACAGAAACTATGAAATTGGAAATCAAAATTTGTACTGATATTCGTATTAATTTACCATGTCATGAATTTGACTGTCAGCCAGTTTCACAATCTTGTTTATAAAAAGTCAAAATTTGAATTTAACATCTTCTAGCACTTCAAAAGATATAAATAAAGTTTAAATTTTAACTTACTACGTCAAAATATGAGACAGAAATTATGAAATAGTAAATCAACATATGTAAAAATAATCATATTTATTTATTATCTTATGAATTTGACCGTCAGTGAATTTCCCAATCTTGTTTTAAAATTCATCTTATAATTTTAAATTAACATCTTATAATTTGGACTTCAAAAGTTCTATAGAAAGTTTAAATTGTGACGTCCTGTGTCACAGGCTAACTATGAGACAGAAACTATGAAATAGTAAATCAAAATTTGTACTAATAATCATATTTGTTTATTTTAACATACTACCTCACAGGCTAACTATGAGACAGAAACTATGAAATATTAAATCCTTTTTTTTCATTACCATGTCTTAAATTTGACTGTCAGCCAATTTCACAGTCTTGTTTTTAAAAAGTCAAAATTTTAATTTAACATCTTCTAGCACTTCAAAAGACATAAAACATTTAAATTTTAACTTACTACCTCACAGGCTAACTATGAGACAGAAATTATAAAAAAGTAAATCAAAATTTGTACAAATATTCATATTTATTTACCATGTCATGAATTTGACTGTCAGTGAATTTCACACTCTTGTTTTCAAAAAGTTTAACTTAAAATCTCATAATTTGGACTTTCAAAGACATATAAAAAGTTTAAATTTTAACTTACTGCATCACAGGCTAACTATGAGACAGAAACTATGAAATATTAAATCATTTTTTAAATAATATTTTTTTCATTGCCATGTCTTAAATTTGACTGTCAACCAATTTCACAATCTTGTTTATAAAAAGTCAAAAAATTTAATTTAACATCTTCTAGCACTTCAGAAGACGTATACAAAGTTTAAATTTTAACTTACTGCATCACAGGCTAACTATGAGACAGAAACTATGAAATAGTAAATCAAAATTTATATTAAATATGTAAATATGTTCATATATATATGTATTCATGTTTCTTACCTATTTCATGAATTTGACTGTTAGTGAATTTCACATCTTGCTTTGAAAAGGTTTAACTTGAAATTTCAAAATTTCAAAATTAAATTAATTTTATTATTTATTTGAATTTGAATTATTTATTAATTTAGTGTTGGAACAACCCCCACAAACACTGTTTTGTTTTACCTGCATTACTGTTGTATGTTTGGTGACATGACAGTTAAAGCCTGATTTGATCTGATGTGATTTATATTCTTTTAAGGCTGTGCTTTTTGTCACCGCTCCCGCTGCCATCGCCTTATCCCATCCATTGTTCATCCTGAATGAGCCTAACGATGGAAATGTAGGAGTAAATGTAGGAGTAAGTAAAAGTAAGGGAAGGTAATAAAAGGAAAGGATGATAAGCAGCAAAGGAGCAAAGGAAGGGACAGAGATGGAAAAGAGGGGGTATTACAGTGAAAGGAAGTGAAGAGGTAAGCATGTGAAGGAGGAGGTAAGGAGAAGCAAAAGAGTGTGAGGAAGGATGGAGCAGGTAACTAAAATCAATCAAAGGGGCTAGGAGATAAAACAGGAGATGGGGAAGGACAGGAAAGATAGGAGGAGTAGAAGGAAGGAAAGAGTTAGGCAGGAGGTGAAGGAGGTAGGAAAGGAAACATAAATCAAGGGAATAAAGAGCAGGAGGAAACGCGGAAATAAGAAAAATAAATATATAAACATAAATATTAACAGCAAGGTATGAACTTTCATCACTCTCCACTCAAACAGCACAACCTCGGTGAAATCCTACATTTCCCATGTTACCCCGCGCACACGGAAGTGCGTCATCACGCGTGACCTTGGCGTTCTTCTTCACTTGGTTTTCTAAGAGGACGAGCATGGCGAATAAGGAGCCCGGTGTAAGTGTGTTCTCACTTTTAACTCGTGTTAAATTAATGACTGTCACATTTGTGCCTTCAGCTCTGTCGAGCCTCGCGGCTGCTTCCCGCTGTTTGCACGCGAGTCCGTGACATTACCGGTTAACGTTAGCATCTTTAAAACAACACGTGAGTCAGGCTGATTGTGATGTAAGCTAACGTTAGCTTGCACTCAAAGTAATGCTAGCTTAAGTCTTATCCAGAAAGCTTCAGGTCCAAACTGAAGACCTATGTTAAAGGTGGATGTCCTGTGAAATCTGATTATTGTCGGTTAGCTAACATTTCACTTACGTGTTCATCAGTATTCAAGCTAGCTTCATTCACTCTCGTACTGAGCTGCCAGTTTCCAACTAAGAATCGAACAAATTAATTTCTCCTCTCTTATCGGTGCATGTACACGCAAGAAACAATAATGCTGTGAGCTTGTATTGACGTTGTAGAACATCCTCTTTAATTCGGCGTACATGCCGTTCACTGAGCTGCTCGGCTATCCTCAAAAACATCAGTTATATGCTGGAAGTTGTACCTGAATCCTCTAATGTTAACGAACACATGTGGTTGAACCCCAGGGGCACGACAAGCATATAATAATGCTGATATTCTGTTAAAATAATTACACATGTGGGGAAACTTTTAGGCCGAATTAAAGCTTGGAGCTCATTAATTCAAAACATATAAGCAGTTATGTGTAATTATGTGATGTATTTAGATTTTGTGCTTGCAAACATTAAAACAGCGGACGCTTTGAATGGAGTTTGGCCTGTCCTGCACACATATGGAATGTTTTTTTGGCTAGATTCTGTTCTTGTGTGGACGTTGGGAGGTGTCAGCCTTCAACATGGTTACCCATCCTGTACGAAGGTCACTCAGTCTCATGTCTGTTTAATATGTTTTAACCATTAAGGACTTTTCTACCTTAAAAATTGACCTGACTCTGCGATTTGGTGCTTAACAATAAACTCAAAAGTATAAAGACATAATGTGAAATAAAACTGAGAACAGTTGTAATACAATATGAAAAACATATTTCTGTTATTAAAGTAATGGTTGTAAAGTGTACACTTGTGCAAGTTATTGTCCAGGAGATGTAAAAGTTCACAGAATAAGTGCAAAAATACGTGTTAGAGGAGAGATTGTGGGAGATAACCACGATGTTTGTGTTTCAGGGTTTTCTGCAGCAGCTGCGGCAGATCGCAGGCAGGATGTCATCAGGACCTCGGGGTGCAGGACTCGGTGTCAAGCTGCTGATCGGTGCTGGAGCTCTGGCTTATGGTGTGAAGGAAGCAACCTACACAGGTAGTCTGCTTTTGCTTTTGCTCCATGCATGCACGAAAATCATCACGTCCTCTCCTTCTCCATTGACTTACTATTTAACATACATACTGAGTGATGTATTTCTGTTCCAGTTTGGAGTTTTGCCACATTTACCAGCTGATTTCAGTCATGAATATACACAGTTATGGCCAAAAATAGATGGATACCGTTCACTATTTTTCAATAATGCAACATCCTCTCCGTAAAATGACAGAAATCACTTTGATATTCACAGTGTGTAGTTCTCATCATATAATCCTCAGAAGTCCTGTTTCATGCTGGACAATTTTACTGAGACCTGAAATCATTTGTAAGAAATAGCTGATTTAAATAAAGCCTCTGACATGGAGGAGGAAGAGCAATGTTCGACAGGTTTTTTTGATAGAGGAAGCGTTGAGTCGGCAAACGGCATCATGAAGTCTGCAGAGTGCAGAGGTGAGAGGGGACTGGAGGAGTTAAGTAGAAGGAAAAAAGGAGGCAGTAAGGGAAAGCTAGGAGGAGCTGAGCAGAAGGAAGGGCAAGTGAAAGGAAACAAAGATGTAGGGAAGAAGTTGAGAAAGTAAGGAAAGGGCTAAGGAAGGACTATGGGAAAGGAAAGGAAACATTCCTAACTTTATTTATATAGCACAATTTGTGCATAAGCACACAAAGACCTGAACATAAAAGACAAAACATTCACGATAGATGAAAAGATTATTAAAACGTAAAAGAAAGGGAAAAGGACAAGAATGGAAAGAAGGAAGGAGTTCAGAGTAAAGATAAAGACAGCAAAGATGTGTCGTTTTATTTTCACCTGTTAATTATGTTTAATTGAAACTACATTTAAATGTCTGTATTCTGTAGGGGTGCGACGGTACAGGTAGCCCACCGTACGGCCCGTACCTCGGTTTTTGGGCCACGGTTTCGGTTTGTGGGTAAAGAGAACAATTCTTTTATTTTTCTCTTTATTTTGCTCGACTTGCTGCTGTGTTGTGCTACAGCCTATTGAAGTGCTGGAATTTGTTATTTACGTGACAACGCCTGAACGCAACACAGGCTCTGCTCCATAGCGTTAAGTGCGGTGCTGCGGGTCCTGGTCGGGCTCGGTTATAACTGTCGGTCAGGAAAATACGGCCTGGGCCGCGCTCTTGTGTGCTCACCTGTGTCTGTGTGTGTCTGTCTGTCTGTCTGTGTGTGTGTGTGTGTGTGTGTGTGTGTGTGTGTGTGTGTGTGTGTGTGTGTGTGTGTGTGTGTGCGTGCGCGCGTGCGCCAAACTCCGCCGTGCGCGACACAGAGAGCAGAGGAGAATTGTAAACGCACGACCATGTAGAGACAGAAATGACATGCCGTTGTGTAAATAAGATAAATAACATGAGGCTATTTAGTTTGTCAATAAAAGGACTAAAGGCCCTAATATAATGGCAGGGGAAACACTAGACATGTTTCAAGCAACGTTTGCAGACAGTGAAATTTCTGTTAACTGTTTTCGCTCCCTCGTCCTTTTGTTCAACAGCGAAACCGAAATGATCCCACACAGGAGATTTGTATGAAGCGGTGCTTCTTCAAACTTCTGTCTCAACTCCTCCGCTTGCCTTTGCCATGGCTCTCTATGTTTGTTTTTTCCACTTCTTTTCTGTGTGAGGCGAGCGTCACTTTCCCTGGCTCCAGTTATAACAGTGTGAGGGGCTGAGTGGGCGGAGCCACAACAGTGATTGGACATTAACTCGTGGGGAGGACTTTTGTGCAGCAGGCTGACTCGGCCGTTCTCTGTATACATCCATGGACTCGGCCTGTGGACAGACATCAATGCAAAATTAATTGCAAAACCGTAAACCCGCCGTTCGAATGTACGGCTATAAGTGCGTCCATCCATCCCATCCTTGTGAACACGATATTTCAAGAACGCCTCAAGGTCATTTCTTCAGATTTGGCACAAATGTCCACTTTGACTCAGCAACTGATCAGATGTTGTCTCAGGCTTGTGAGTGTAATATCTCAAGAATACTTTGAGGAGATGTCTTCAAATCTGGCACAGACGTCTCACTTGGACCCTAAAGGTCAAAGGTCAGATTGACTGTGACATCATCATGTTTTAACGTCATATCTCAGGAACAGAAGGGGAGACATTTGGTCAGATACTGAATTGGTGACTCTAATCTTGAAACTGTGCTGATTGTATAGATCTTCTGTGTGTGAAGCATCCATGTTTTCACTGACATGGATGGAGACTGTCAGAGACACTGGACTGGTGGGCGGAGTCATACAACCACAGTGGACTAGTGGGCGGAGTCATACAACCACAGGGTGGACTGGTGGGCATGAAATGTGCTCTGTGTCCCTTCTGCTTTAAATGAAACCTGGAGACAAACACATTTACTCATCTGAAATAAACACAAAGAAAACATTAAAGTTTGGGACTCATCGTGATAACTGATCAGCCCCTAATACCACCTTTTGTTGGCACAGTGTCAGACAGTGAACAGAGGCCATATTTATTTATTTAATGAGTATGTTGAGGAGTTTGTCTTTAACTCAGACAGTCGTGGTGTGTTTGTGTGTCCTGCAGTTGAAGGAGGACAGAGAGCGATCATCTTTAACAGGATCGGAGGGATGCAGATGGACACAGTTCTCTCTGAGGGACTCCACTTCAGGTAGGAGGCTTCACAGGGATATAAACACACCACACTCAGGAGCCCTGAGGCCTGTACTACGAGTTAGCAAGTTAACTTCAGCACGATGAAGCTGGTTCTCCTTTTAGTGGGATAAGTCACTGTGGTAACTTGTGCTGTCTTGGGTAAAAAAAGAGAAGCTGATATATTGTTAAAGGTCAGCAGAATCATCTTATTGTTCCAGGGCTGTGTGTCCACTGGTTTAAAACAGCGCGTCGAACAAACAGAGATTGTTGACAACACCTAACACATACTTATAGCAGGATTATAACATATGCAAAGTTCATTTTAGTCCACAGTGAGAGTGTTGCTATAAGGGGTGGGCATTATGGCCCCAAAATAATATCACGAGATTCAGATTCTGTTTAGTGCTGCACGATTAATCTAATCACAGTGTCAGGCTGTGAGATTACATAACCGCATAAAAGGCTGTGATTTGTGTTTTAATGTACATAAATGTTAACGTGTGTGCCTGTGAACGTGACTGCCTCTCCTGTACTGTGTGGAGTTTGTTGACAACACGCCCACAAGCTATCCTGGTGTGTGCAGCATGTATGGTCAGGTGACCAGCCGGCGTGCAGCAGTGACCAACACAGACGCTGAAGAAGAGCATGAGCACAACCATGAACGGGCTGAGTTGGTGGCGAAAAAAACATGGAGATACTTTGGATTCAGGTTCGGCGACATTGAACAGAAAGACGTGCTGTGTAAAACTTTAAAAGTTAAAGTCGCCACGTCCCGCGGCAACACGACCAGTCTATATCAACACTTGAGACAGCACAGAGGAACGTAGGAAGAATGCATGTGAGAGAAAGCCGAGCAGAGTAACATTAAAGACAAAGAGACAACTGAAAGACACCAGAGCCTCATAAAGTAACAAAGCACAGTTACGCAAACATCTGTAAGTGTCACGGGGAAATCACAGACTCCATAACAAACTGTATAATAACAAATGAAAAACTGAGCAATTTTGCTCGGTCCCGGCCCACTTGACATGCTGCTGTGTTGTGCCATGGCGTGCTGGAATTTGTCATTTACGTGACAACGCCTGAACGCAACACAGGCTCCCTCCGTTGTGTGTGTACAGTTCCGTGCTGCGCTGCTGTGTGAGCAGCGTGTTTGACTGTGCTCAGTCTGTTGATGGTCATTTACACACTGTCTGTCCATAACAATAACTATGTCAGGTCAGTGCCCCCTGATATAATGTAGGGGAAAGCACTGAATCAAGCAACAAGACTCATGATACCATTTATTTATTATATTGTAATCGCAGTCACAAAATGCAATATTGTCCACTCAAATCACAATCGCACATTTTTGTCAAATCGTGCAGCACTAATTGTTACAATATTAATAGTTCAACTAAATAAAATCTACCACAAATTACACATTTAAACAGCTCCCAGATACAAACATGTCCCCTGGGATCTATATATATAAATCAACAGCTGATTTCCTTACATGGAGTTTGTTGTGAGCCACAAACACTGTATTGTGTTCGTGTCACCCTGTTTGACCCTTCCTTCCACTTTCAGAATAAAAGCTGGGACAGCCTTGTGGTTTTTGATGTCTGTATTATCTTAAAATGTGTTGCAGCCAACGGACTAACATCACTTTAAGTTTGTGGGCACATGATCAAGTCTTCAGGGCGTTGAAAGGACGGTTGGGGTTCACTGTCATATGTCTCATAGGATGTTAATTATACAGCTTATATCTGCGCTCTAAGTAGTTTTCAGGGGCTCTGTTCATTTTGACCTAATGTTGTATTTATTATCTCTCTGTGGCATCAACCTGATGAGCAGGAACAGCTGAATGCTGCAGTTTAGTTTCAGGAGTATTTTATTCACCGACTCGATGTGCAGTGCAGTGATGATGCTGTTTCATGTTCCAAAATGCAAATGTCACTTTTTGTCAGTGTTTATGATGTGTCTGTTCAAGACATGGTGGTTTCTGCTGCTTATTGTTGATTTTGTCATAGTTTATAATTCAGTGAGTTGGGTGTTACACTTAATAAAAAGACTCTCCTGTGTCCCATACGCTGAACATGGTATCAGCCAATAGATTTAAATTCTGTCTCGCATTGTGTTTAAGTTCTTGCTTCACATTTGACCCACCAACTTGCCGTCTAGGTATTTTTTAAGTCACTGGAGCCACTCTAAAGCGCAGGAGCGATGCTGTTGCTATTTTCATTACTGCGGCAATGAAGGGACAAAATAGCACCACGCGTTTAATGCAATGAAAAAACAACAACGTTATGCTCGGACTTTATTGCATCATGACTAACACGTTAAGGCTGACAGCTCTAGACAGCCCTGTTGAAAATATAAACTTATTAAAATCTCACAGGGTAAGAACAGGGCAAACACAAGCTGCATTCACAGAGTCTAATATCTCTGTGAGCAGCCTCATCCTACATGAGAAAAGATAAAACGGTTAAAACAAGCAAAGAGCTGATAGAACAGTGGCCAAGCATCAGAGAGAGGAAAACACTGACTTTGTTTGATTTAAAGAAAAAGTACAAACAGAATTGTATGAAGAGTTACTAAAAATATCAGGAAAACTCTTAAGTGGTGTAATATTCAATCTGCTCACAATTCATCCAAGTAGCATGTTTTTTACACCAACTTCCTGCAGGTACTGTGAGTCAGCATTTGGACTAATCGTACAGTTTATCAGTAGTTCTGCTCTGTTGTTGTTGAGCACTCAATATAATACAAAACATTCATGAAATATGTTGCTCAGTTTTTCTCACTGACAGCTTTGCTTGCAGGAATAATCTTATAAATGCAGCTGCAGAAATGAGGCCGAAACAAGCGAAAACAAAACGACAACAGAAAGGCAAAAAAATAGGAGAAAATGAAATAGTGGGTGATAACAGATGGATTCATTTCAACAGAGTCGAATCCTGACACAAAATAATTTTTGCTTGTCTGTTTTAGTTTGTTCAGTAAGCCAACGACAAGTTTTTATAGATATTTTATTCCCGCTTGATACACCTCCTTCAACCTGCTGGTGTGCGTTTCGCTGCTCTGACTGTGTGTTGTCGTCTCCTCAGGATACCCTGGTTCCAGTATCCCATCATCTACGACATCAGAGCCAGACCCAGAAAGATCTCCTCACTCACTGGAAGCAAAGGTCAGAGTCATAAATCTGGAACAGAAACTTTGTAATGATAAACTTTATTTGTATAGTGATGTTCCAAACACAGAGTGCTTTATGAGACAGATGAAATAGTGTCAAGATGAAACAGCAATAACATGCGTATAAAGAACAACACTGAACGTGGGCTGCAGGCAGCAAATCTATCATGTATGTAGGAGCAAGACCATGTAGGGCTAGTAACAGCCATACTAACTAACTAGTAAAGTTAAAATGAGTTCTACATCCAACAGGTAGCTGGTGTAGCTTTGCAAAGGTGGGAGCTATATGATCGCATGTCTTGAATTAGTTAAATGTCTGACAGCTGAGTTTTGAATGAGCTGGAGACAGGAAGTGGCCTTCTGGCGGAGCCCTGAATACAGAGAGTTACGATAATCCAGACGTGACGAGATGAAAACACGGATGACTGTTTCCAGGTCTGCTGAGATTAGGGGCCGATATAAGCCTTTAATAAAAGCTGCAGTGTTTTTTTTTTTTTTCTTGAGCGTGTAATAGTGTGTATCTTAAAGCCCAGCAGTAGAAGACGTGAGAATTCGTGAGGGCTTATTAAAGGATAACTTTGGTATTTTTCAACCTGGGCCCTATTTCCCCATGTGTATGTGTGCGTATGATTCATGGGTACAACTCGTACTAAAATTGGTTCAGTATTGAGGGAGGCGGATGCAACCGGGAGCCGCGAAACGAGCTAAAACGGTAACAGGGGCAAATGCGTCCCGTATAAGTTTGCGCATTAAAAGTGCTTTTTTTCGCCACTGACCGGTTCAGATCGCCAGTGTTATCTCTGTAAATAGCATACTAAGCGTTTACCTTACCTCTGGGCTGTGTGACGTCATCTCGCGACCTGATGGTCTGCAAGGCGCAGTGTCTGGACAGGAGTGTTAGCATCCATTTGTAGCACAACTAGCCACAACTTCAGCATCTCGCCGTCCGACAAAGGCAGCCTATGAAAGCTGTACGGGGTGTTGCGCAACATCCTGTTCTTGCAATTCGGATAAGCACAAACACGAACCATTGTTTTCAATCGATGCAGTAAAACTCTCAGCTGTACTCCGGGACAACCAGCGCCACTCTGAGCAGCGCTCTGCATGGCTCCTCTGTTTTCTTCCAGCAACAAGCAAAGCTCTCGCGAGATGACGTCACACAGCCCAGAGGTAAGGGAAACGCTTAGTATGCTATTTACAGAGATAGCACTGGCGATCTGAACCGGTCAGTGGCGAAAAAAAGCACTTTTAATGCACAAACTTATACGGGACGCATTCGCCCCTGCTACCGTTTTAGCTCGTTTCGCGGCTCCGGCTGCATCCGCCTCCCTCAATACTGAACCAATTTTAAAACGAGTTGTACCTATGAATCATACGCACACATACACATGGGGAAATAGGGCCCAAGTTGAAAAATACCAAAGTTATCCTTTAAGTGACAGAGTCTGCAGTGTAGGTCGCTCTCAAACTACTTTAAAACCAAACTCCTTGGTTTGGTTTAAAGTTCAGCAGCACAATTCTTAAGCAGAAAATTTTCAGTTGACTGCTACAAAAGGGTGAAAGAACGTTGCAGTAATCTAATCTATTGGAAATAAAAGCACAAATATGTTTATCAGTGTCTTTCTAGGACAGGAACAGCTGTACGTTGGTGATGTTTCTTAGGTGAAATCAGATTATCAAATAGTTGCTGATTAATTGACCAAAGCCAATAATCACCACATGATTTTGCCAGCTGACGTTTAGTTATAAAGATATATTTGAATCATTTGGAAATAGTGTCTCCATCAGAGTTTGTCCGCCACAGAGCACTGACACGTTTATTTTACTCTGTAAAATGGCCCCAACACGACATGTCTTAGTCAGTTTTGCTTAAAGAAAAAAGACTGATTTAATGGATCTTTGTCAAACACATTTGTTGGGTCATAATTAAACAGTATATTGAATATTCAGATGTGTCTTCAGGAGGAACCGGCCGTTACAACACAGCATCATGTCCGTCCTCCGTATCACAGCAGCTGTAAACATCTCCTCTGGTTTCTCTCAGACCTTCAGATGGTGAGCATCTCACTGCGAGTTCTGTCCCGGCCGCTGGCGTCCAACCTGCCCATCCTCTACCAGCAGCTGGGCCAAGACTACGACGAGCGCGTCCTGCCGTCCATCGTCAACGAGGTGCTGAAGAGCGTGGTGGCAAAGTTCAACGCTTCCCAGCTCATCACTCAGAGAGCACAGGTACCAGACCCAAAACATACCACTGTGGTGTCTTCACGCTTTATCTAAATACAGCTACAGACAGTAGGGCTGTCAATCTTCCCCCAAAACCAGATTCGAATTTTTAATGTGTTTTTTTAGCTCAATGTATACACATACATACCAGCTTATTTGGGAATTCTACAGGATGCCAATTACGTCATGCGTCCACTAGAGGGCATTCCAATCAAATCTGTTGTGTAACATTTGCAAAACACTTTAGTTTTACCAACTCAATTTAAAACTTCAAGAAGGGAAATAGAAATATTAGGCCAGATGTATTGATGTATAGAATAGAAACAATATAAGGCCAGAAATATTCAAGCAATGATGTTTAATGGAGAAGCAAATATGTTGGTTCATTCAAACAAATACATATATTAATACTGTAAGTCTCAAAAAGACAACTCTTTGTCTAGAAAGACAAGCAGGCATTTTTCTCACTGCTATTAATAACACAAACAGTAAGTAAAGAAATCGTATCAAAACAAAAATAAAAGTGCATATGTCCGCAGCAGCATATTGAGTGCCAGGTGGCCAGCGTGCACCGTTATTGGACAGCACATGGACACTCACCCTCTCGCGATTGGACTATGAACTTATTCCACAGTAGTGGTACCGTGAGGTACCGTAGTACTACAGTACTCCAACAATGCTAGCGCGGGTGACAACCAATCATGTGCGACATGGTCTCAATTTGCGTGACGCGTGAAAAGAGACAGAAATGCTGTGCAGTCCCACACAATGCGGGACGTCTGGTCACCCTACAGCAGCGCCTAACGTCACGACGTTGGTTTGTGTCATACCGGAAGTCAAATATTCGAACCTTAGTTTGAGAGTGAAGACGGATAAGAGATTAAACTCAAGTGTATCACTGCCAAGTTTAACGACGACCCATTCCTCATGCTGCAACCTGAAAAAAATTTTCAGGCTAAGGATTTTTTTTTTTTTTTTTTTGCTATCACCCCTGGCCTACTGATGGCTGACCCATCAGTTGCCGCCGTCACCAGAAACAGACGTCGCTTCACGTGACGCTTCAGAGGAAAAGGCGTCTCATTTCTCTAAAGACACACTTGTTTCTTCTCTCCTAGCGTCTCATTCTCGCATCTCTCCCCCGAGCTAAGACGCGAGGAAGAGATGCAACTGAGGGAAACGTGGATGTGAGATCAGGTGTTGGGATGAACCCATAGATTTATATTAACATTAACTTTATGGCACCACAGTTGTGTTGGATTGTATTTTTCTACAATGCTGTCAGACACTTAGAATAACAATCTGAGCCTGTCGGAAACAAAACCAAACACTGTTAGTGGACGCTGCAGCTCTCTCTCTCTCTCTCTCTCAACACTGGACCAGTGTGAAAAATGTTTGTTCCCATTTGTCACATACACACAAAAACATGGAAAAATTGAGTCCAGGTGGAAAAATACAGAAGTTACCCTTTAAATTGGTAACGCTCACACTGCTGCCTCCATTTTGTGTCCTCCTGCAGGTCTCTCTGCTGATCCGCAGAGAGCTGTTTGAGCGGGCCAAAGACTTCAACATCATCCTGGACGACGTGGCCATCACCGAGCTCAGCTTCAGTCGAGAGTACACCGCCGCAGTAGAGGCCAAACAAGTCGGTGAGTAGATCCTTGTAGGTAATTGATCAACTGTTTGGGAGTTTCATATATAAGTGAACGCCAGATTTTATTAACTCTTCATGTGTTTTTTTGATCTGCAAAGTAACTAAATCTGTCAGATAAATGGAGTCGAGTAGAAACATGAAGTTGCAAGAAAAGAAAATACTCAAAGTACAAGTAGCTCAGGTTTGTACTTAGTTACACTCCACCACTGGCTCAGGACTGATATGAAGAAGGTCTTAAAGGTTTCCACAATAAACTATACTATGAGTCAAATAAAGGTGTAATGTGATTGTTGGTGTGTGTGTTCCTCTCCAGCCCAGCAGGAGGCACAGCGAGCTCAGTTTTATGTAGAGAAGGCCAAACAGGACCAGAGACAGAAAATCATCCAGGCTGAAGGAGAAGCTCAGGCTGCAAAGATGGTGAGTTTATTATCATGTTAAAGGGTTTTTATTTTATGTTGACGATGGAACGTGTCTGCAGTCCTGTCAGTGTGGAGGTATATAAAGCTGAAATAAGAATAAAATACAAATTAGAAATTAAACAGGTGCATACGAAGACAGTAATTAGAGGGTGAAGTGACAGTGGTATTTGTGACGCTAAAATCAGTGTAATGTCTAAAATGGTAGATTAAGTAGTACAACATACTGAGTCGTATGTAGAATCTGCAGTATGGAGCACATGCAGCATGTATATAGTAACTGTGGTATGTAGTGCCAGTAGTAATCAATCAATCAATCAATCAATTTTATTTATAAAGCCCAATATCACAAATCACAATTTGCCTCACAGGGCTTTACAGCATACGACATCCCTCTGTCCTTATGACCCTCACAGCTGATCAGGAAGAAACGGTAGAAACCTCAGGAAGAGCAACTGAGGAGGGATCCCTCTTCCAGGACGGACAGACGTGCAATAGATGTCGTAGTGCAGCTGGTCAGCTTTAAAGCCTGCTCAGATTCAGTTTTACTAGGAACTTACTTAGCTTTCCCACTTTGTTAAAGTGCAGTAAACAAAACATGCTTATATCTAAAGTGCAGCTTAAACAATTTTACTCAACTCCAATGGCGTTGGTTATTTCTTTAGTGCGATGGTCAGGGAAACGCTCTCTCTTTTTAAACAACGACGATATCGTAGTTTGCACCAGATTGCTTTTTCTAGTCGTGCCGGTTAACGTTAAAACTCGGGTGGCGTCGCTTTAGATGCGTTAGCATGTTAGACGTGTTTCCAAGTACATACCCGACCGCTGTTCTGCAGTGTCGGCACACTGCTTTTGTCTTGTCAACTTGTTTATTTCCATCTTCGTATTTTACCCTGAAACCAAAGTGTTCCCAAACGGAGGACTTAAGGTTTGCGGGTGGGTCTTCAGGTTTGTCAGGCTCACTTGCCATGTTGTCAAAATGCCAGAATGCGCTGCACAAAGTGAAAGCGGAGATTTATGGGACTCGGTCCGTCACTCAATTATGTCCATCGGGGAACTAGATATTTTAAATGGTTTGGCTCGCAAAAAGGGAATTAAAATAAAACAAAACAAAATAAAATAATATCCTGCACCCAATAATTCGGTACAGGGTCGTGCTGAACTGAAAGTCGTGTACCGAATGGTTCGACACAAATACATGTACCGTTACGGCCCTAATATCTGATAGTATACATGTGTGACAATAAGAGAGACAGAGACAGAGAGAGAGAGAGAGAGAGAGAGACAGGACAGACAGTAATGACAGTAGCTTACAACAACATTAATGAAAGTAATAATATTATAGTTACAGTTCTGGCTACTGTGGTACAATATGTTGAAAGTATGTATTAATATCTGGCAGTATACATGTGTGACAATAGTCATATGTGTATAATAACAGTAGAAGTATGACTAATGACTAATGATAACAGCAGCAGCAGGAGGCATCTGGCAGGACAACGGCAGCAGCACAACCACACACGTCACACTGTCCAGGCACCGCTGTGATAGAAGTAAATGCAGTATGTAGTACATGTAATATTTATTACATACAGTATGTAACACCTGCATTATACATGCAGTATGTATGTAGTAGCTGTACTATGTAGTAAATGCAGCATGTAGTAGGGCTGTAGTCGACCAAAGAAAATCTTGGTTGACTAAAGTCGCACATAATCTTCAACTAATCGATTAGTCGTAGGAAAAAAAAATCTGCACGTTATTTTTACTTCTGAGGTGGTGTGTCTGTGTCACTCTGCAGTTACACCTCCAAAACACTAGTCAGCGGTGGAGGACTGTGTTAAGTGCTGTAAAGTTTAGTTGATTCAAAACACACATTAAACACACAGTAAACACACGTTAAACACACATTAAACACACGTTAAACACACATTAAACACACAGTAAACACACGTTAAACACACATTACACACACATTAAACACACATTAAACATGGCTTCATAGAGACAGTTTCAAACACAAATCAGCTTCACTATAACTCGCAGCATTCACAGACAAACACTTGTCTTTATCTGGACACATTTTCCCCACAAATGCAACATGCTAACGTTATTAGCACCAGCCTATGGCATTTTACATTGTATAAATTAGCCTAGCAGCTAGCGATCTTTCCCTCTTCTCATATAAAACCAGGGACAACAGCAACATGTAACAAAGGTAACGGCACATAATTTGGCTCCATTACAGCTCACAACATTCACCGACAAAACAACTGTCTGATACTAAACTCGTTTTCAAAAAAAAATACAACATGCTAACGTTATTAGTACCAGCCTATGGCATTTTACATTGTATAAATTAGCCTAGCGATCTTTTCCTCTTCTCATATAAAACCAGGGACAACAGCAACATATAACAAAGTTAACGGCACACAATTTGACTCCATTACAACTCACAAGGTTCACTGACAAAACAACTGTCTGATACTAAACACATTTCCCCCACAAATACAACATGCTAACGTTATTAGCACCAGCCTGTGGCATTTTACATTGTATAAATTAGCCTAGCAGCTAGCGATCTTTTCCTCTGCTCATATGAAGCCAGGATAAATCACACACAAGACTTAAAATGCTATTTTAGTGGAGACTTTACTGTCTTAACAATTTATTATTTCTTATCTGTGAAATTAAAGTAAATCAAAGCTTTGTTTCCACTGTGGGAAATGGTGTTTTGAAAACACCCCCATTTTCACAGGTAACTTAGCCTGTCCCCCCGCCGCAGGAAATAATGGATTAATCCTGGAAAGCTGTTGATGTAACACTTTTCTCCTTATGAAAGTAACACGACGATTATTCGACTAATGAGAATTTGGTCGGACGAGAGCATAGCGACCAAATAATAGACCAGCAGACTACAGCCCTAGCATGTAGTACCTTCAGTATGTAATACATGAATCATATATGAAGTTTGTGCAGTATGTATGTAGTATATGTCACGCCCAGTACCTGTAGTATTTAGAATCTGCAGTATGTAGTACATGCAGCATGTACATAATAACTGTGGTATGTAATGCCTGCAGTAGACACACCTCTGTACGTCAGTGTTCCAGCTCCTGCTGTTAATACCTGCTCAGTACATCAGGGTAAACACATGCAGTATCAGACACACAGTCAGAACTTCTAGAGAAATGCTGTTGTTTGTACTTTTGTGTAAAAGGTGTCGTTGATTCCTCGAGGTGTTTTGGCGTGTGTGATCACCTGACCTGCTGTGCTTCAGTCTGTTAATCTGGAAGACACACAGTCTGACGTTTAACAGAGTGTGTGGTGAAGGTTGGAGGGCTGTTTCGAGTTTATTAAGTGCAACAAACTGATGAGATGCATTCCTGGTTGTTTTTTTCATGCTGTGCTGTGATTGAACTGATTTATAAGGATCTCATTAACATTTAAAACCACCTACAGATCAGATCAATTCCTGTCCTGAGGTGAACTCACTCGGCCTCGCGTCCTGACTGTGGCGAGAGTCAGAAGCTTCTTAAACAAACACTTCATCCAAATATGCAGTAATTATTTTCCCTGCTTGTCAACACGCGTGAGAATATTAAAGCTGAGCAGCGACACGCCTGCAGCTTTGATCCCACTGATGATCATGTGTTTTTTTCTGCTTGGAGAGACCGGCTCATCCTGCTGCTGCTGCTGCTGATGATGATTGGCTCACTCTCCCTTTTGTTGGTGTGTAACACTATTCTCCTGAGAATACACTAACCATTTCAATCTGTGTGTGTGTGTGTGTGTGTATGTGTGTGTGTGTGTGTGTGTGTGTGTCAGCTGGGCGAGGCCGTGACGAAGAACCCAGGCTACCTGAAACTCAGGAAGATCAGGGCGGCGCAGAACATTGCCAAGACGGTAAGAGACGTTTACCTGAGAGTTTGTTTCTGCAACAGTTTCCATCAGTGTCCGTCTGACGTGAAGCACGGCCCCACCACACAGCTGATATAAAACATGTTAGTATTGGACGACACATGAGAAGCAGCCTCCTCAGTCCTCATCTGAACTCTAACAAACAAAAAAAAACATACATTGATTTTAAGGAAAATCCTGCAGAGTATAAAGTCGTTTTGAAAATGTTACACATGTGGACGTGAGTGAGTGATGCTCACTTGTTGTGTACAAAGGTAAAATGTTCTCTTTATTGGCTTCACAGTCTCTTAAACTCTCTCCTCCCTAATGTGTCTTCAGTGTCAGTGATGAGGACAAAATCTAGAGTTCTTGTTTGGAACAAAATGTATTCAGAAGTTTATCTGAAGTCAGAATGAGACCAAGTGGTATCTCAACTTAACTCAAATTTATTTAGAAAGCACATTTAAAAACCACACACGCTGTGGTGCTGTGCAGAAGGAATAAGTCACTAAAACAAACACACACACACGCACACACACACGAGAGGTAATGTGATGATCAGGTACACAGCTCATACATTCAAAGACACAACACACACAGAGGCAGCGTCAGAGAAAGCCACGTCAGACGGACTCAAACGCTGATGAATAAAAGAAGGTTTTGAGTCTGGACTTACAGGAGTCAGTGGAGGCGGCAGATCTCGGGCCGAGACAGCAAAGGCACGATCACCCCTGAGCTTGAATCTGAAGTGAGGGACAGCCAGGAGCCCCAGGTCAGCTGACCTGAGGGACCTGGGCGTATAATAAGGGGTCAGGGAGCCTGCGATGTAGGAGCGGGCCAGACCATTGAGGGCAAAGGACAGAATCAAAATGTCTCAAGTCAGACAGTACTTGCATTTGATCCGCCCTGAAACCATCCAGTGGCACCCTGATGGGTCCAGAGCCACAGTTTGAGGACTGCAGGTGCAGCTCACAGTGAATCCACCAGGTGGCGCCACATGAATATGAAACGGTACAGAAACCAAACTTCAGGCTTCATCTTCCTCTGACATTTCACCTCATGTTCTCCATGTCGGTCATCAGGCCTTGAAGTTTTTATTTATTTCATTCAAGTTACAGTGTTTATCATGCACGTCACAGTATATCTTCAGGAGCACTGGCAGGAAGTAGAAACAACAGGAGAGGAAGATGCATGCCAAACGGATGAAAGTTTACTTTAACTTTGAAATGTCCTGTCCTAATGAGAAAATCTTTTTGAGCATCGTTTCAGTTTTAAGACTTAAAATCTGTCTAGGCAGCAATGAAGAGGTTATAAAAAACAACTTAAATAATTTCACTTTTGATTAATCTGCCAGCTGTATTCAACAGTTTGATTTGTAACACTTCAGCTTGACAATACACAATAATTTAATTATAAGCTTATTAAAGACACTTTAAAAATTAAAACTTTACTTACACATTTTAAGTATTTTTATTCATAGTAATTTCACCGTAGTGCTTTATAACTCAGATATATAATAACACATACATTGTGTTATATGTATTTTATAAACACCCAAAAATGAAAAATCAGCCATTATCTACTCACCCATATGCCGAGGGAGGCTCAGGTGAAGTTTTAGAGTCCTCACATCACTTGCAGAGATCCAAGGGGAGAGGAGGTAGCAACACAACTCCACCTAATGGAGGCTGACGGAGCCCCAGATTCAAACGTCCAAAAACACATAATTGAAACCACAAAATATCTCCATACTGCTCGTCCGTAGTGATCCAAGTGTCCTGAAGCCCCGACATAAAAAGTTGTTTGGAAAAACCTCATTTGAACTCTGTTTTTAGCTTCATTGTAGCCTGTAGCTCTGACTGCCTCTCTGTGCACCGCACTCACGTGTGCGCTTGCGTCAGACCGTGAGACATGGGCACTGCCTTCATGTGTGTTCATGTGTTTCACTGGTCAATGAGGCTAAAAACAGAGTTCAAATTACGTTTAACTTTTTATGTCGGGGCTTCAGGACACTTGGATCACTACGGACGAGCAGTATGGAGATATTTTGTGGTTTCAATTATGTGTTTTTGGACGTTTGAATCTGGGGCGCCGTCAGCCTCCATTAGGTGGAGTTGTGTTGCTACCTCCTCTCCCCTTGGATCTCTGCAAGTGATGTGAGGACTCTAAAATGAATTTTCATTTTTGGGTGCACTATCCCTTTAATAGACTGATATATGTTGACACATAATGAAACTGGGTAGAAAATAGAAACAGGTTCCTGTGTCACCGTCAAGAGCACAATAATGCCTCTAACAAGCTTGAATGACCTCCAGTGAAGCTTCTCTTCAAACCTCACAGCAGAGGCAGGAGGTCAGACTGAGGTCACACCTGTTGGAACATCAGCTGAACAGACTATAACCTGACAAATAACCTCTTCAGTCTTAAAACTGACGAACCTTTTCCACCAAACCAGCTCAGGTTCTTCAACCGGTTCCCTCCAGTTTTCTTTGAACCTTGGTGCTATCGAGCAAACCAGCCCGCGTGTCAACCATTTTGGAGCAGAACCTCTGACCACGTTTACACGCACAAAATATTCCAGTTTTTGCACTTATTCCGAAAAAGACAATATTCCTGCTCAGCTGTTTACATGTCCAATGAAAATGAGTATTCCACTAATGTTTCTGTTTCTGTGCAGCCGTGCACACTCTGATTAACGTGTCCTAACATGTCGTCTATCACGACCAGATAAAGAAAAGTGGAACGGCTGGAGCTGCTCGTCATTTTGCTGCTTTGCATCTAAATTTATTTATTTATGTATTTTTCCATCGATGGCGGACATGTCCTTGTTCTTGTTATGCTGTTGAACTCAGCCTTCCTTTTTCACTTCTTCAACCACCATCTCCAAATGTTTGGTGTTGTGATAGTTGCTCATATCCAAGTCTTTCATAATATTTAAAAGTAAGTGTGTTTCTTTTGGGCATTGGTCTCTACACCAGCCCTCAAACTGTTGGCGAGTTGGTTTATGTACATCACACAGAGCCGCCTGTAAACAGGAAAGAGGTCGCGTGTCACAAACTGTGGTTAAAAACCCCAAATTGAGACACACATTCTGAACGTGCTGTATACATGTCCAAATAATGCTCCTAATGCTGAAGAAGACTGAAATCTGAAATCAGAAAATGCTTCATTAGAAAATTGCGTAGTTCAGAAATTCCAAACAGAATATGCTGTTTACATCAAATTCAGATTACTGTCATATTTAGAATAACAGTGGAATGTTAGTGTGAATGTGAACATACTCACTATAGTCAAGGATGTTTTATCAATGCAGGGCGGTGCACATTGCACAACAGAAGTAACCAGGAGTTGACCTGCAGGGTTTTGTTCTGTTATTACAGATCTTTGATTTTATCCAAAAACAAGCCGGGACCAACTTAAGACTTGTTTCCTCCGAGCAGTTCAGTTCAGTTCAGTTCAGTTCGGTACGCTTTTTTTCTGTTCCCACAGTGAAAGTTGTGGATGGTCCCAACAGAAGCGTTCCTTAGCGTCCCCATGTTTGGTCCCCCCTCTGTTGGGGTACCTAGCACACAGATCTGGTACTAAAAGGTGGAGCTGTGAACACTGCAGTCTGATTGGTCAGTAGAGGACGCTCACTCTGGCCTCATGTAACCTCTGTTCATACATCAGTAAACTACAACTATAAAATGAAAGAGAAAAAATCACTTCATTCACTGGGCCGACTGCCGGCAACTTTTAAGGTGGAACGTTAACTTGTAATGTTACTCAATGCATGAGTTGATGACGTGAATCCATCAGCACACCTTAAATTTCACTGTGACAACTTTGACCATCACTTTAGTTTTTATATGACACACACTTTTAGTAATGACTTTAAAAATATAGATTAATTTGGAGCGGATTATGTGAAGGTCATATATTCTAATCCTCACTTCCTGTGGGCTACAGCAACACTAAACCCCTGAGCTTGCCTGAGAAGGACTAAATGCACAAAGCTGCTATTTTTAAATATCCCATGGAGAGAGACTCTCACTGCAGCCTGTTCTATTTTGTTGTGAAAATGTGGGCGTGCAGCCTCGTTCTGTGGACGATAAACCAGGTGCAGACTTCCATCTGTGTCACCGCTGATGAGGAAATACAGCGAGTGCTGGACGGAGCAGTGAGTGACAACAACCCCGCCCACATTTAAGAGGACTGTCTGAACAAACCCAGGGTCTAGGTACCATGTCTGAAGGCTTACTGCTGGTTCCAAAGGTGCTGGACTGAAAGGGTTTGGTGGAGATGGGGTTTAAAAATGATCAGAAAACAACTAAAATGTGCAAAACTCCATCCTCTCTTTCCAGCCTATAGAAGATGAGACATGCACTGATGTTGACATGTTTTGCATTCAGCTCAAGGAAAACCTGCTATTTATTGGTTCTAGCTGGGAACCACCTTTTCAGGTTTTCAGCTAATTTATTTTTGGTCAAAATGCTCTGAACGGTTCAAAACTGGGTGCAGTATTAAAACAGAACCTGTCCCCTGTTGGTGGAAAAGGAGTACAAGTCGACTGCAGAGGGCCCAGAGAAAACACTGACTCAGTATTTAGAGTGAAGCTGCTCCGTTCACTGAAAACAAATTCAACATCCAAGTTCACACAGTAATCTCTCCTGTCATGGGACACTGTGGGGACATCTGTTCATTTCATTCTTCTTCTTAAATGTAAATAAAGTGTGTGTTGTTAGTACTGTGAGTGTGTTACACTGTTTAGTAGTGTATCATTGTGGTGTCAGAGTATCAGTGACTAAATGATTCATTCATGGGGTCTTCACCTCGCAGTGTGACCTCACAGCAGAGTGTAACGCTCTCCCAGTCACGTCATGTGGCCCCGGCACTCCGGTGGTGGCGTGTGTTTCCTGTATGGCCAGTGAACGGGCCTCAGCAGCTCTCGCCGTGCTGTGAATCAGCTCAGTGTTGCAGCTCTGACAATGTTCCCATTGTGCTCAGCGGCAGCAGCTTGGTCAGGCCTGCACACTGAGGAACTTTCCACCTGTGTTTTCTCTGCTTGCACTCACTCACTGTGTGTGTGTGTGTGTGTGTGTGTGTGTGTGTGTGTGTGTCTGTGTGTGACCTGCAGGTGTCGCAGTCCCAGAACAAAGTCTACCTGAATGCCGACAGCCTGGTGCTCAACCTGCAGGACAAAGACAACTTCAAGTGAGTCCAGACACTGTTTAATTTGATTCTACAGATGTGTCTAAGACGCGACCAGAGCTGTGTCTTGAATGTCTGTAGTTTTAGGATGAACTGTATCTGTGTCAAACATAGCGCTGGATATTCATCATGTTATAAGTAGCATAAGAAACTTACTTTGAGAAAAATAAACAGTTTTTTTTTTCAGACAGAATGTCTGTTAAACAAAATAAGATCAAACTGACGCACGCTGTGTGTCCCTTTATCATCACTCTGCATCGCTTCTCTGAATTTGGACATTTTTTGGGTCCTTTTTCATGACGTTTTATTTTTTTATTTTTCCTCCTCGGCAGCAATTTGTTGAGTTTCAGTTTGATTATCACATTCAAGACTTCCTTAGTTCAGTTTGTGGTCGGATCGATCGGAACTGATCAGATTAGATGGATGGATTAGCAGAGCAGCAGCTGCAGAGGCGAGGAATGTAAATTATCTCCTGCTGTTAAGGCCAAAACACACTGGTGGCGAACGTAGCGCATCAAAAAGTCCTCTTACTATTTTTGATGTACAACCCCACACCGGCAGCAGCAAGATGCATTTTGCGCTTTTGGACACATCGCCCTGCAACACTTTTCGCCACTCTCCTAATTCCAGCCTCACCAGCCATGGAATTAAGTCTATATTCCTCCACTCACTCTGCTCCTATGGCAGCTCGACTCCTCTCCTAACCATGGATGCATAAAGAGAACTCTGTAGCTGTTGCTGTTTCGTGTGTGACGAAAAATGGGTTAGGAGAGACTCATTGTAGACGTCGAGAAATATCCTGAGCTAAACGACCCACAATGCTGTTGTTAAAAAAAGACAATGGTCAACAAGATATTGCTGGCGAGTCACAGCTCTTCAGGTGAGAAATCAAGTTTAATTCAGGGCTGCCCACATGATTTTAAGATAATGCAGAGGTGGAGGAAGTACAGATCTGTTGATGAGCTGCAGTGTAACGTGTCTGAGAAATGATAGACAAAACTAAAACTATAAACTACCAACATTTAAGTTTTGCTTTCACAACGCGGCTCCAAAACTGGAAAATCTATCTGTAGCTGTGGATGTTGATGTCTACGAAAGCCTTTGTCAGATTAAACTAAAGATTATAAATTCCCACAGCCCAAACGCCTCGTTTGTCTGACCAACAGAATTTAAAAATATTCAGTTTATTACCATTTATGTAAAAGCTGAAACTGGAATCAGAAAATGTCTGAATGTAAATTGGTTTAAAAAGATAGTCATTAATTATTTTCTGTCAGTCATCCAAATGATTAATCAACTAATCATTTCAGCTCTACACACGTTGAACATCGATTTGAACACAAGAGATTTGTCCAGATAAAGAGTCAGCAGAATTTAATACAAGTCTGAAACCAGAGTCCTAAACTGCACCCGCCCATACTCCTAAAGCTCAGCACCAGAACCGACCTGTTACCTGTCATCATGTTCACGTCAAAGTTGCAAGTTTCATGGCTCGAGTCGGTGACCAATGTGACCACGGGGTCAAAGGTTACACTTGTGTCACTTACTTTCAAAATAAAAGGAACTGCGGCTTGATAATAGAGATTTAGATGTGAGAATATTACTCATATACTGCACAGCTTTTTACTTTGTTTTTGTTTTTTTTTTCCTGAAAAATAAAGAATATAGATTTTTGTTCTCACCTGCTGCCCATCTGCATGTAGCTCATTTTTACCTGTTACACAGCTTTTTGCGGGGTACTCATTGAGAACCTGACCCATGCAGGACTCTGATGTCCCCCTTTTTAACTTTAGTGACACTGACACATAATAATTGCAGGATTGTAATCTTGAATCTCTGTTTCTTTCAGTTTGTTGCTGGGGAAGTAAGAGGACGTCATCATTCCTTGTGGTCCACCTCTACAGAAAGAAAACTCACTCATTTCTCACCTCTCAGCCGCTGTCGACTCCACGTCAGGTTTCTCTGCAACTCTGCCACGTTTACACACCACAAAAACTGACTTTAACCTGTGGAGAGTGTCACCCAGCCGCTGTCTCACCACTGTGGATCTTTTCTGAAAGGTTCCTCTGGTGCTGGTAAAGGTCTCAATTCTTCAGTTTTGTTGTGTTTCTTTTTTTTTGTATAATCATCTGTAGATGTTTACTTCCTCTTTTGCTTTTGTCAGAATCAGAAAAATGTTTTATTTGTGAATAAAAAGCAGTAAATGTTGCTTCTTCGTCTGCAGGCAAGTTGAGTTTGTTCACAGTGAGAAGTAACGTCGTGTCTTTCTAACCTGCAAGGATTATGTATATACCTGTAGATTTTCACTTTGGACACTCGAGCTTCGTCAGTTACATAAATGAGTTGAAAGTACTAATAAAAAACAACTGCTCTGACTTCTTCAGTTATTTGCATTGAATGCAGGACATTTAGAGGAGATGGATTAAAATAAAGCATCAGATTAATAAATTAAATGTGAAAAGGATTTTTTTTACCAGCACCAGAGGAGTCTGTTAAACCGTCGTGAGAAAAACACTAATATGCAGGTTTCCCACAGTCATGGAAAAACCTGGAAAAGTCATGGAAGTAAAAATCATATAAAGTTTTGAAGAAGTCATTGAATTTTGTTTTTGTTGTGTGGACATATTTCGGTAATCTTCAGAGTTTGAATCTGATATTTAAAAAAAAAAAAAAACACCAGACAAGTATGGAAAGAAAAAAAATTATGGGTCCTTGAAAAGTCATGGAAAAGTTTGGAAATTTTGTCGATAAAAAATTTGTGGGAACTCTGTATATGGTTGGTGTCTGTCAACAAATAAATCTAAGACTGAATGAATTAGTGATCATGTTGAGAGTAACAAGACAAGGTCAAAATATAGTAAATGGCTGGACGTGTATGAAACGCTACAGGGGTTTTAATTTGAAACAGGAAGTGGCCGGTGTATCCCCAGTCATACCCTTCCATTGGCTTTGACGTTCACTTTACAGAGCTGGCGTCATGGCTGGCACGAGCTGTCCCAGTTGTTGCGGTCCAGCCCAAAAACTCATGTAAATCCACGTTAAAATGAGGAGCAGTTGACTCAGGGTGTGTCACACGTGTAGTCGGTGTGTCACACCTGTAGTCTGTTCATTTGGTCGCACAAGAGAGAAAAAATTATCCATTGCTTAATTTTAGTTTTGGTTAGGTTTCTGTTTACACTGACTTCTTGCAAACAAACCAAGATGAGTTGACGTGAAATTCTAGTGACTGACAGGTAACTGGTTGATTGGACATGTTTGGCGGTTGTCTACTTGTAGACTATTTCATCCAGATGTAAATTGATGCAGTGTCAGGAAGATGCTGATTTATTAATGTCAAGCATGAGAAAGACCAGGGCCCGAGATGCTCACAATGTGGACTGTGTCGTTAAACATTTGAACCTGGGGGAAGCAGAGATGACCAGCCACACTAAAGGAGCTTTTTTACCCCGATGACCAATGTGACACCTGCTGCCAGCTGTGGTGCTTCCCTCTCGTCCTCCTTTAAACAAGGGACCATTTCAGGTGCTGTGCCAAGAGACGAAGCCCTGACAGCAGAGGTAGCCCATGATGGGCGCTAAAGGTGGGTAATTCTCATGTGAAAACACAAGCCAACTTTTTCGAGTCAAAGTTTTCCCATCAGCCAGATAGCTCCCAGATTTGCATGTGGTAAACGCAAGTGCTCACATCCAGTATATGCACTTTTGGACTGGCTCCTTAGATGTACTCGTGGCTGTCGGTGCACCCGTAGGCGTGTAGGTTTTAAAATGAGGCGTGGTCACGCTCATCGTTTGCATGTTGCTATTTGAGAAAGCGATTGACCAACAAAAACCTGGTCTAAAGTAGGGATGGGCATTAGGACTCGTTTGGTCAGTTTTCACTCAATACTATTTAGAATGAGTAAAATCTTTTTTGTTGTTGAGCTGCATGCTGTTTATAGCTTTACTCTGACTGACTGGGTGTTCCAGTTGAAATTTCTGACTGGGAGCTGGGAAATACCGACTTAACAGTGCAAATGGAATGCACCATTAGACAGCATGCCAGCATCCTGAAAGCAAATGAGGCGTGACGTCTAAGCCAACAGCATCAGCCTCTAGTGTGACATATAACATAGCAGCGCTTTATTAACAATAACATAACATGTCAGTAACAACCATCACCGTCCCTGTTATATGGCGGCTGATTTCGTCCTCTGCTGCTCCTGGACCTCAGTGTTTTCCCAGTTTGCGGATATTTTGGCTGCTGGTCTTCTTCTTTGAGTTAGCTACTAACTGCTAACAGCTGCCTTTTTAAATCTGACAATGGGTCACTCCCATCCCGTCCTGCTGGCTGTCCCTTTAATGCAGACATCGATTTGGCACTGTTACTTCCTCCGCTGCCGGCTTAAAGGCGAGACAACTCTGTCCGTTTGTTCTGCGATTGTACCTTTTATGAAACGGTGAAACGGAGTAACAGCGCAAAATTCCCTCCTTGAACAGGCAGAGTAAAAGGAGTTATAGTTGTTGCACTGTTTTCTCTGTTTCTAGTCTTTATGCTAAGCTAAGCTAACCAGCTGCTGGTTTTTATTTCCTCTGCAGACCTGGGTTTTATGTCGTGTCTAACAGTTCCTTCAGTCTGCTCAAACTTTTGTTCAAGATGAAAAAATCCACCGGCCAAGCATATTTTCTATCAGCCAAAATATCAGCAAGTGATAAGTTAGTTTACTTTGAACACTTATATTTTTACTGGCTAAATTGTACATACATGGATCTGACTTTAGTATTTAGATATTTGAAAATGCTGCAGTAGAACAACTTCAGAATGATCCCAGAAGTACCAGGGGACCTGTTGAACAAGGTTATTAAGGGGTTTGCAACTTGATTTGAGTTTAAGATATGATTTTAAAATGTAGGAATGAGTTGAATGTTGTTGATTGTAGTGTCTAATTATTAAAAATGCTGTCATGAAACAACAAGAAAGTGATGACAAATGTTCAACAGAATAGAAACTTTTCCTCTTTAAACAAACATTGTGGCAGTTCGAGTAGAGAACGCTGAGTTTATAAGGTGCACTTGAATGCACCATGGTCGTCCACACACGTTTCCATACAAAGCAATGTAGATTTCAGAGTTTTCAAGGTGGACTTGAATGGCGGACAGCCTTCTGAGATTTACCCAACAAACAGAAATCTACCCACATTTGGTGTTTGGCGAGTTTTAATTTCAGACCCTGCAAGTGGACGTTTTTGCCAAATTTGAGGGAGGTCCCTTAGGGCATTCTTGAGATAACGCCTTCACAATAATACACCCTTTTATTGTTAGTAAACAGTATGATGTTTTTTGGTGGGCGGGGCTTAGCTGGAGGCAAAACAATGCTCCACAGACATTAGCTAGCCAATCTTACAAAGGAGGACCACACTTGTTTGTTTTGCTATGGAAGCTAACGTTAGCTAATGTGCTAAAAAGTTAGCGTTGCAGAGAAATCCAATATTCCTCTTAATCCCTCCCCAGTTTCTGATGAGGTGGACATGATAACCCTTAATACACATAACCTTATTCATCCCTACAACAGGAAATACTTTTTCCCTAACCTGATATGAAGTGTGCGCTGCACATGTGAGCATTTTTGATGATGGCCTCCGTCCAGTCCTTTGGTCTTATCACATTTAACCATAGTTGTCTTTGTTTTTGTTGACAGGCAGTGGCGGCTGGTTTTGAGCCATGACTCCTTCTATTCTGGCTCCCAATAACACAACAAGACAAACACATTTTAACACTCCTATGTAGCCTACAGCCCTGTGGGGGAGAGGCAGCTGCACCTCCAGCTGATAGCATGACGTCATCGTGACGTCAGCCCGGAAAAGGTCTATGGGACAGATGAGACAGACAGACAACCTGAAAACAGAAGGCCTCCGGGCACGGCTGACGCCCACCACAGAGTCTGTGTGTCTTACTCAGGTGGTGGGGCCTTTTGCATGTCTGTGCCCAGGGGCCACTTGTCTCTCAGTCCACCCATGAGTCCAAATGATGGTTTATGTCCCCCTTTCCTGTCTGGACTGTAGAGCCGGTGGTGCAGCCCAGAAAAACGGCTCCTGTGAGTCACTGCGTTAGGTGTGAGTTCACAAACTCTGTCAGCAGGTCGACGCTGTAGCTTTTGTGTTTGTGCAACACGTCCGTAAGCGTCTCATTGAGTAAAGCCTCAAACTAAATATGAACATTGTTGAGTCATGATGGTTAATACCAGCGAGTATTTATGTCGAGAGACGGCCTCGCGCAGCACACACACTGTTATCTTTGTTGTTGGTGCAGCTGAGTGTAAATGAAACACTTGTTTGACTCCAGATCCGTCCTGTCTGCTGCTCAGTGCTCAGGCACTAAATGCAGTTACAATAAATAAAAATCATATATACGTTTTATTTTTGAAGCTCATAAGCACATGGGCATGTTTGAATGTCTTAATTACTTCTGTAGGTCTCATTGAAAGGCTCAGTCTTTATGTTTCATCAGAGAAATTAAACTGTAATTCATAATAAAACACAACTGTAGAGTTTGTCAGTGTTGAAGGTACAGTAGTATTCAGAGCCTAACACCACACTGTAGAAACTGCATTCAAAACATTCCTGAAGTAAAAGTAAGTGAGTATAATCAGTAAAATGAGGTTAAAATAATGAACTGACTTAAATGAATGTATCTGATCTCATGAGATGATTCAGACTCACATTAATGTAAAGCAGAATTTTACAGCTGTAGTTTGAGGTCGAGCTCATTTTCAACTGCTGATTATTTTCTCCATTAATCGATTGTTTGGTATGTGAAACAGAATGTGAGGTCACCTTGAACGTGTGACTACTCATATGTAAATGTGACTCAGACTGAAGCTGACATACACGTGATGTCATGAATATTCATGCAAACATACGCAACATTTCCTTTAATATGTTTTGTTTTTATCCATCTTCTGTCACAGAGTGCTCCCTTTTTAACCATACAAACTAAAAGTCACAGCAGATATAAATAAATATATTGACACTCACGGGCCACTTTATTAGGTACACCTTACGAGTACCAGGTTGGACCCCCTTTTTAATTCTTGGTGTCACAGATTCAACAAGGTGCTGGAAACATTCCTCAGAGATGTTGGTCCATATTGACATGATGACATCACACAGTTGATCCATGATGAGAATCTCCCGTTCCAGCACATCCCAAAAGTGCTCTATTGGACTGAGATCTGGTGACTGTGGAGGCCATTGGAGTACAGTGAACTCATTGTCATGTTTGAGATGATGTGAGCTTTGTGACATGGTGCGTTATCCTGCTGGAAGTAGCCATCAGAAGATGGGTACACTGTGGTCATAAAGGGATGGACACGCTCAGCAACAATACTCAGGTAGGCTGTGGTGTTTAAACCATGCTCAGTTGGTACTAAGAAAATCTCCCCCACACCATTACACCACCAGCAGCAGCCTGAAGCGTTGATACAAGGCAGGATGGATCCATGCTTCCATCTGAATGTGGTTTTTCCAATCTTCTATTGTCCAGTTTTGGTGAATTGTAGCCTCAGTTTCCTGTTGTTAGCTGACAGGAGTGGCACCTGGTGTGGTCTTCTGCTGCTGTAGCCCATCTGCTTCAAGGTTGGACAAGGTGTTGTTGCTTCAGAGATGCTCTTCTGCACACCTTGGTTGGAACCAGTGCTTATTTGACTTCCTGTTGCCTTTCTATCATCTTGAACCAGTCTGGCCATTCTCCTCTGACCTCTGGCATCAACAAGGCATTTTGGCTCACTGGATATTTGCTCTTTTTGGGACCATCCTCTGTAAACCCTAGAGATGGTTG